GGAATTCTAGGAGTTGAAGTGCGGACATCTTCAAATTTCCCAAGGTTGGGAAACACTGCAGTACATAATTTCTACTTTTTATAATCTAATGAAATTTCTTATTTTTTGTATATATTGAAGTTCTTAGCACTATATACATATGTGTACAAAGCGACTTTTATTTGGAAAAATATGTGTATTGGAAGAAAGATAAAAATGTCTTAAAACAAGCATGCAGATGTTAATATTAAGTTTTTTTAAAAAACTTTTGTAATATGTGTTTTTTTAATGTTGTACGCCGTCCTGAGTCCTTGGGAGAAGGGCGGCATATAAATCCAATAAACCAAACCAAACCAAGTTTGTTTGCACTTTATAATTATGACCTAGATTCAAATTAAAATTTGTCATCCTGGTGTATTTCAAAATTAGCACATTAATGAGTTGATTTATATAGGAAGTGGGAATGTTGGAGGAAATTTTATATAAAATCACTATTTTGTATGTGTCTAATTTTTAATCACATGTGAAGCCGTGATTCAGTTGACATAGATAATATAATTGTTCTGATGTGCATTGTAGGTATATGTGTCTTTCAACCCAAATTAGATCCTTGGGTTATCACATAGACTTTTTTTTTTGGAACAAATGCAAGCATCAAATGATGAGTCTATGAAAATTTTACAGAAAGGAAATGGAAGATTTACAGTATTTAATTGTCTTCTTATTCATAACTCAGATAATTAAATGTGTTCTCTCAAATCTTACAGAGCTTGAAATCATGCAGGATATGATCAAAATAGAAGTAATTTCAATATAACAACATTCGCTATATGAAAAGTAAGTGAATAGTGTATTATTTGATATGCTTTACTCTGAGGACAATACTGACAATGAGCAAGAAGATTTGCCTTATGATGGAGATCTACAACATAGAGATCAATGTAGTTGCGATTCACAGAATTTAGAAGAATTCATTTCTGTAAAATATGTCTCCCCAACTGTTTCCACATTGACATCTTCTATCAGCAACCTGTCAAATGAAAATCCAGACTGCCAAAAGCAATTGTCTCAAAGGAAAGTCAATGCGGTGCTATTGACGAACAAGAATGACGTAGAATTTGCCATGACATCAGGAAAGGAAATACAATTTGGCGGTTTTACCAGTTCAGGAAGAAATGAAGAGTTCTCCAACTCAAAAATGTCAGATGTCCTTTTACGTCATTTTCCAACAGAAGACTTAGCAGACCAATTAATTGATTCTGAGACTATCCCAGAGATATCGTTTACTGACAGTTTTGATGAAACAGTGCTAATAAAAAATAAGAGTTCAGAAAATACAGGGATATTTCCCCCCAAAGAAGAAATGAAGAATACTGAAAGGAAAGTAAGTTGTAACTTAGTTGTCAAAAATTGGGATTTGACTCAAGATAAGTTATCTTTAATAGATGAGGGTGTTCTTGTTTGTAACAGCAAATACTGCAACATGGATGACTCACAATTTCTAATCCAGAAGGAACCTGGAAGACTTAATGAAGACTTACATTATACCTCTACCCACAAAGAGTATCAAAATCAACAATACTTTCTGGATAACACTGAAAATTTTCATAATCCCCAATGCAATGAACACCAGGTTTATTATAGACTTCACGATTCCTCTGAGACTTCTCCAAAAGTCAAAGAATTAAAAAGAAATAATGAAAGCTTTGTTTTTAAAAGAACAAAATCTTCCACAAATTTGCTTGATAAAGATGTGCTAGAAGCATTTACATTTTTGGAATCTGATACAATCAGAAATCAAGAAGACGAAAATGGAACTTTTGAACTTGATCAACAGCTGGAGGTAGATTTAAAGTGATTTACCTGCATATAAGCTAGCTCTGCTTCTGTATGGATAAATTCAATCACTGGTTTTTGAGTTAGATCTCCAAATCAATGCTGGAAACCAACTTTAAACATTTGTTAATTTAAATTAAATACAAGGGGGTTTCTTCCGGATTCTTGGTTGTGGGGGGATTGCAATCCTAAACCACTTTCATAGTCTTATTAATAGAATGTTTCTTAATAAATATACATACAATTATACTGCAATAAATGCAGTGTGACATACATGGGCTGAAGAATATTTAAATGAACTGAAATTCAATGGAACTTTAACAAATAAAATTACAAATTAAGACTAGTTTCTGATTTTTTGCCTATTCCACGCCCACTTTATTATTATTTTTAGTAGAGTCCATTGCTATTCTGGAATCAGGCTTGGAAATCACTGGTTACTGTGAAAATAATTTTAATTGTTCTTTATCATAATAACATAAATTATATTTATTTATGCTAACAATTCCTAGTTTCCAAATCATTAATCCATTATTTGCAGTATAAATCTCTGGCAATATTACAGTAGTAGCTAATTTAGGACAATATACTGGCTCAGAACTCTCCTTTTATTTGGCATTTTCTTCAAATTAGCCGGCTTGCTAGCTTTTCAGCAATATTATGTATTAGAAAGGGCTCATTTTCCAATCTTCCTCCCTTTCTACGTTTGCAATGTACTTTCCCATTATATCATTTCATTTTCATGTTTTCTGCATTCTTATTTTTTTTAAGGTTTTAATGTATGCTGCCTTGAATCTGCCCAGTTTGATGGCCATATGGATTTTAATAAATAATAAATAAAACTACAGTAGTTAATATATTGTTCTCCTGGCTAATGGCATGTGTTTTACTCTGATTTTTTTTCTGAACAAAATTCTTTTTTCCCCCCCTTCACAGTTCTTGCAGGACTTGTTAGCAGCTTACTGACTATAGAAGTTAGAATGCTTTTGAGCATCCTATGACCTAGATCAGCAAATCTGTACCTATGGATGCTCAAGGGTCTAAAATGATACCTTTAATTTTTAATACAAATTAAACTTTTAATTCTACACTTCTTCAAATGTATGAAATCTTCAGCCCTTGTTTAGGCATTGGTATGCAAAATCCCATGAGATCTAAGAGTAAAATTGCTAAACCCTCATAAGATTTAAGGTGATTTGGGGAACCTGAAATGGGAACCTGACTCCTGCCTTTCATTATTGTAACAACCACAATATCTACAGTTGTTGAACAACATTTAGCAACTTAATGTTATGCTGAAAATATTAACCACATTCAAAAATGTTTTACTGCACCTTTTCAAACTACAGGTGCTGACAAGACAAGCTGAGGTTCAAAATCATATCGACCACCTAAGATTTAATAGTCCTAAGGTAAATCTCTCAGAATAAGAAATCAATTTCATCATTGAGGATAACTTCTTAATAAAAAAATAATGTATTTTCTTTTTCTATAGCGCTATCAAATTGTATGCAGGGTACATAGTTTACCAAACTTAAATTATATTATTGCAGGGTACAGTGGGGATTTAAAATTAAACTGAATACAAAAAATATTAAAATCTTGTTCAAAAATATTAAAATCTTGTTCAGAAAGAATGTTTTTGCCTGGCAATGAAAATATATTGACGTAGATGAAAGTATGTTTTCCTAGGGAGAGTTTTCCATAAATAAGGCACCTCAGTTGAAGAAACTTTTGTGTTTTTGATAACATCACACTTCTGTTTTGGAAGAGGGCTTCTGAAGGTGAGTAGAGTCCATACCATGTACTTAAAAGAAAGAGAAATTCCTTGAAATATTCATGGGCCACGTTGTGAGAACCTCGCCATCATTATCGCAAATCTCAATCCCCATTGCCAAATTAACTTTTGTGGAACAACTCAGCACTTGCTGATTTCTGTAATTAGGATTGCTGCAGTTTGTGATTAATATATTTACAAATTTCGTTTTTCAAAAGTTGGGCAGGAAAAATAAAGAACCAGTTATCTCTTATCCTCCATTTTCTTTATTTTATTGTAACACTGGAGCTTTAAATAATGCCTTAATTTATTCCCAACATCTACCTTATTCCCTTAATTCCTCTCCTTCCTCCCAATTCTGAAAATCACCCCAATTTTTTCTCCTGTTGGTTTGCTTTACTCTTTGATATTCAAAAGCTTTCAGTCTCAAAATTTAATTTATTTATCTTTTAAAGCATCCGATGATTAAAACAATTCATTGGGAAATCAGGGATAATAGAATTAATTTCCTAATGTATTTTCCCTCTGACTTATTTTATATATAAAAGCTCTGGTTTCTCTTCAGATCATATATTGTTTTTAGAAATATTTCATCTAGGTGTTTGCCTTGTTTTTTTTTAGGACATTGCAGGTTCTGTTAAAGACGCACTGAATTTTTAGAGTTGACAAAGTAGTAATGTTTAGAAGCTTTTAATTTAACATGATAACATTATTTTATCTCCTGATTTAGTATCTGGCTACAAGTTATGCTTTCTATGTGCTTACTCTGAAAGCCACACAAAAGATTTTATGGATGGATGGATGGATGGATGGATGGATGGATGGAAGGAAGGAAGGAAGGAAGGAAGGAAGGAAGGAAGGATGGATATATATACCCTCGAATCCCAGCAAGGGTATGGCTAGCTGATGAGAGCTAAATAGCTTGAAATAGATCTATACTAGTCTCCCTTTATTTATTTATCAGCACAAAATACACACACACACACACACACACACACACATATATGTGTGTGTGTGTGTGTGTGTGTGTACATAGTGTGTACGTGTCTGTGTGTGTATGTATAAAAGCATGGTATAACTGAGAGAGCAAGTGAATGATTTCTGTTGTTAATGCTGATTTTCCACTTTTCAGTGATTGTGTATATTTTCAGATACCTCCTTGTTCAAATCCACATACAGCAGAACTTAGTATTGAAGCACAAAGTACTGGAATAGCTTCCAAAATGTCTGCCTTTTCTCCTGCAACCATTCCTATGGAGCACATGTTTGGTTTTTCCCAAGCCCCTCATCCAGGTACTTCAAACAGACTTTACTGCTACTGCTAGATCAGCAGTTCAGCGGTTCAAATCCCACCAGGCTCAAGGTTGACTCAGCCTTCCATCCTTCCGAGGTGGGTAAAATGAGGACCCGGATTGTTGGGGGCAATATGCTGACTCTCTGTAAACCACTTAGAGAGGGCTGAAAGCCCTATGAAGCGGTATATAAGTCTACTGCTATTGCTATTTACAAAAAAGCAGGTTGTTGCCTTGAAGAATTTTCCATTTTTTATTAATCGTTTTAAATTTTTATTTGTAGAATCACGGTCTAAAAATATAACTTCTTCATTACCGTTAGTTGATGCAATAAGACAACCATCTGCGAGCACTCCTTTTCTGCAAAACATAACAGATGAGACGGAACAGATATTAAAGAAACAAACTGAAGAGCTGAAAGCAAATGTAATGCCACATGTTAATTTTTGAAATGTTTGGAACGTGACCTATTTTATTCACCTCTCATCTGCAAGTTCAAATGCAATGTATTTCTTTCCTTTTTTTGAAGGTTGAAATATTTTCTGAGTGTATTAAACAGAATGTATTCTCAGTACAAGAACATTTTCAGGTAAATTCAACTTTATATGTACTTTTAAAAGACAGGAGCTCCATTTGAAGACAATCCCTTTCCATGATGTAGTTCTGATGTAGAAGAATGGGTCAATCTATCCTCCAAAGCACCTGAAAGCAGTACAGGGAGCAATGGGTGGAAATTAATCAACCAATCTAGAACTAAGGAGAAATTTCCTGATAATTATAACAATTAATCAGTAGAACAACTTTCCTCCAGAGGTTCTGCATGCTCCAACACTGGAGGTTTTTAAGAACAGATTGGAGAACCATTTGTCTGAAATAGCATAGGGTGTCCTGCTTGAGCAAGGGGTTAAACTAGAAGACCTTCAAGGTGCCTTTCAACTCTCTTATTCTCTTAATCTGTTCTTAATAGGGACTAAGTTTAATTTATTAAGCAACCCTAGGCTGAAAGGAAAGTTACATGGCAGAGTCCCATCATTCACACACCCACTGATTTATTCCATGCCTTGACCTACAGCATTTCCTCCTTACTTAAATTGGTGTGTTTTGAATCGCTTTTCTCATTGAAACAAACAAGAGGGATAATCTGTGACTTTTATCAGACAAATAAGGAAGTTCTGGATTCAAATTTTCTCTTCACACACCCTGTTTCAGCTGTTATGGAACTTGGTTTTCTACGATGGGGAAATGTTTATTAATATAACAGTCCCTGAAATTATTCACGTAACAGCACAACAATTTGATTTCGTTTCAGCCTTCCTATAGCGGCCCTCGGCAGAGTTAGAATTGCTACAGCAGCTCGGATTCAGTTTTTTGCCTATATAAGCGATACTGCGTGATTTTTATCATTTCAGAATGTTGTAATATAGTTGCAGAGCCACGCTGAATCACACAGGAGAAAACAAACTCCTAAAACGCCATAACATCCTGATAGTGCATAACATAACATTCTGAGATGTGCCCTACCAATGACGCCCAGGATTTGACCATATATAGACTGAGCAGTAGATTAGAAATTGTACTTTTACAGGCTGTTTTTACTCACATGCTATTGCTCCTCCTGCCTTTGTCCTATCTCAATAAAAGGGGCTCTCAGACCCCCAATCTGGGTCGCTCCATCTCGAGAAAGTTCGTGTCCTGTCTTTTCTCAACATTGGCCTCATGGGCGAACCACGGGAATGTTACATTTGGTGACCCCGACGTAATATGTAAAGAAAATTTACTGCATATATTTTGAGATGTAAATGAGTGAATGTAACTATGACTTGAATACCCTGTGTTAGAAGTTAACAAAATAGTTGAACTCAGTATAGTTAGCCTTGTATGACAGAATGGAAACCACTAGTTCCTAGCCCTGTAGTACTGCACAACTTATGACCATTTCTAGAGAGCAAATAGATGTGTGAGGTTACTGTTTTGTGTCATGCTTCCTCCTCTTCTGTTAAATTTGATTCAGAAGCCTACGTGTGCATGGACACCTCCCGCATGAAAAGGGTGTGTAGAATTCTGCATAGAGTAATGTACCATTTAGACATTTTAACAAGCGCTTATTTTCACACAAGAGGTACTTTAAGTACTGAAGCAACAAAATTATAACAGTGCTCAAGGAATGAGTTCGATGGGTGATGTTTGGCAACAATTAAAGCTGGAAATCAGTTTAGAAAGTTTAATGTCATTCGGATTTAATAATTCTGTTTATATTGTTTCTTCCAAAATTGTTGGTATTATGTATCTGAGGAGAATTTGACATTTCAGTTTCTATTAATGGAATAGATTACTTGAATAGATTTATAGTAAAATTAATATGGAATTAAATGATTTTATTATTTTTTTAATGAAGTTTTTGCAACTTTTAAAAGAACAACTGGAGCAACTGGAACATAATTATGTAGCCACCAGGGAAAAGCATTATGCTTTGCAACTTCAGAACCATAAGCATTCATCAAGAACTATTGGAAAATTTGATGCTAACAGGTCCGGTATTAATGTTTTAAAATAACATAGCTGTAATTTTTTTTAACTATACTATTTTGTTAATATTGCAATCTGATCTTCTGTACCTAGAAATAAAACCTATTGATGCTTTCAGTTATTTCAGTAACTAGAAATAAAACCTATTGATGCTTTCAGTTAAAAATACGTATTTGAAGCCTTTCCAAATCCAGTATTTACTGTCGTAATCTTTTTTGTTGGGTAAATATTTAATACTTTATAATTATAAAGTGATCATTGAACAGCCCAAAATGTAAAATAACTGAATAGATAGTAACCAACTCACTCTCATTGTCACAGATAAAAGTATAGTAGTAAGAGCAGGTAAATTTTTTCTACAGGTAACTCTATTACTATTAAAAGATGTAGGCAACATAGAAAAATATAGCTGGAAGTTCAAAACTATGCCATTACTATCTCATAGTATAGAGCCCATTTTTCTCCTTGGTTCTCTACAGAACTGTCTATCAATTTTCTCCTCCAAAACTAAGCCGTTTCTTGCTAAATCTAAATAGTGTTTTCATCACTGCAAACATGTTGTATTTTACCATTCAACTTCACAGTTTTCAGCAAATATTAAACATTATCTATCATAAAAGGAGTATTTCAATCTCCAGTTTCTCATTTATTTTTCTATTGTTTCATACCTTACATCTGATAATGAAAGAACAGAGCAAAATTAATGTTATATATAGTTTTGAGTGGGTTTCTTGTTTTGTTTTTTTTGTATTTAGAAAAGTAGAAGGGGAAATATTTAAACTTGGGATGTTCCTTGACGATATCAAAGAGAAAATTGAGAAGACATTCGCTTCGTATTCCTCAACGTATATAACATCACCGTCACTCACATCCCCCCCATCTTCTATTTGTTCAAGCTATTCTGCGGTAATCCATTATTCCGTATTTTGTAAGTCTTAAAGACTGATTAGTGAAAAAAGAAAATAATGTAGTCTTCAATCCAAAGGAATTTTAAAAAATCATTTCCTGAAGTTTAGTAGATACTGACCCTTATGAGTATTTTGTTTCTGTTAATTTCATCCAGAAAATTCTTTTCAAAATTACAGCTGTTTCTTCAACAAAAATATTTTCTCAATTATCCAGGTTTAATGGCAAGCCAGGTTATATACTATAATCTTAATCGGCATTTTTAAAGCAAAGACAGAGCACTTTCAATACATTTATTTTCGCATGTTTTAAATAGATGTATTGTGCTTCCTATTTTTCTCTTATGCTTCTTTCAGAGTCCTTTGATTACAAGTACCAATGAACCTCCAAAAAGAAATATTGCAGGACTAAACATTCCCCAAAATGAGAACTGCTGGAAGAAAAAAAACCATCCTGTAGAAGGAACTCCACAAAAGGCATATAAAAAATCTATACAAGGCGACCATCCATCCCAGCAAATGTAAGGTTGAACTTTTACGATAATCACTGAAATTGATTAAATTTATTAAGGATGTCCCTCTGGCTTAGTTGAGATAATATTCCAAGTAAAGGTGTAATAGGCTATTGGTTACTTTCCAAAGATAAATTGAAAAGAAGACTATGTTATGTTATGAAAAATAAACACTAAAAATGGCTTACTCAAACACAAGCTGAAATTTAGACTTGCGTGATTGATTTGATTTGATTTTATTACATTTATATGCTGCCCTTTTCCCCAAAGGGGACTCAGGGCAGCTCACAATTCAAATCAGGGAAGAGGGGTACAGACAGGAAATAAAAAGAGGAAAGAATGGAATGCATTAAAACTGAAATTATATAAATATATCACTGTAGTTAGAATTCAGAGTGTTCTTTTATGTCTGACTCAGTATAAATTAAGAATGTTAGGTTTTTTTCTTTAAATACCAATGGGCATGACCTCAGTTTGAGGAAATTTAACTATTTTCCAAGGTTTGTTTGTTTCAGCTTTTCTGGACTTATATGACTTGTTATACTGATTATTTTTTTTCTAAATGCCTGTTACATAAATTAAGTGATTGCTGCTGAAGATTTTAATCTATTTTTTTTTAAGAATATGCTTAAAGGTTTGTTATAAAATGACATCCACTGCAGCTTCCTTTAAATCAGTATCTACGATTGGGACAAGTATAATAATACTCTTCAAAGTTGAAGAAACTTGCTATGAGGGTTGAAATTAAACAACATTCTTATTAGAGAAAAGGAAGACATTAAAGAAGAAATTTTTAAAGATTCGTATTTTGCTTTTTCCATAGTCCTCTAGAACTGCAGAAGAAAAATATCCATTTAAAAACAATGTCATCTGGGGACAAAGCAAGACAACAAACAAATAGGCATATTCTTGTAAGTCAAATTCATATTTAATCTGCTTAATGGTTCAATAAATTACAGTTTAATTATGTAATAAGTACATGGCTATAAATTGCTATAATGTAATTACGTAATAAGTACATTGCTATAAAGGAATGTGCTAAGTTGTTTGTCATTCTTATTGCTTAATTTATTAACCACTTTATATTTTATTTTTATATTTTAGATAAAAGAATTTGACCAATACCCCAGATCCCATAAAACAAAACAGAATTATAACAATGAACAAGAAAATACAGATAGGTAACTTCCCAAAATATATTAAATTTGCTATTTTTTCCTTTCTCATATTCTTTCATTTTTAGGCATTGTTCTCTTGAACCAAAACCAAATATTATCCAAAATGACAATTTCACTATATAAAGTTCAGAGCTTTTTATAAATAGAATTATATCTATTGGTGGTAAATGCATTCATTCATGTGTTGCTACTAATTGGACAAGTATCAGAATATCGACCCAATTAAGTTCCAATATTTCAGATAGTAATTTGATACTACACAATGCTAATCTTCTTTTCATTTCCATTAGGAATTTAAATGATCTTCAAATAAGATCTTCAGTTCTAGCAAATTTAAGCAGCAAAGAATCTAATGAGGTTGATTTCAGTTTATTGAATGAACAAGGTAGAACAAGATAAAAATAAACATTTGTGTTTTAATAAGTAATGAAATCATTTAAATAAGAAGCATCCATTAATCAGTTTTTTTAACCTGTAATATTTTCCATAGGAAGATCAGCTTTAGATACCTTTGAGAAAGTGAGACATTCTACTGATAAGTCTAAAATTATTATTCATCCTACATTGAAAATGCAGTTATCAAGAAATAAAATATGCTCCTTTTATTCTAATAGGTTCGTATGTGTATTGCTAAACATAGTATGAATCAAATCAGCATCCTTATCAATATAAAATGCAAAAAACCCAAGGAAGTTTACCTTACAGACTTAAATTGCAAGCCTACACATTTATTTAGAAATGAGGTCAACTGAATCGTATGTATGTATGTATGTATGTATGTATGTATGTATGTATGTATGTATGTATGTATGTATGTATGTATGTATGTATGTGTTACCATACCAGGGGTTGTAACTTTAAATACATACCTATTCCCTGGCTCAGCTGATAAGGAGAAGAACTCTGTGGCTTAATGGTTAACACATCTGCCTAAGAGGCAATAGCGCACAGGTTTGATTCCCAGCAAGGGTATGGCTAGCTGATGAGAGTTAAATAGCTTGAAATAGATCTATACTAGTCTCCCTTTATTTATTTATCAGCACAAATATAACATATATCCCAGATAAGTGATTATTAGATTTCAAGAAAAACTTTTCTAGGAAGAAGATAATTAAGATTAGCAAGATTTATTTCTGCATAAGCTTGCATGGGATTGCATCATTACCTGTATGTTTGCTGTTAAATTTCAGTTAAGTCAGTGTTCTATTTTATTTTTAATCTAGAAATAAAACAACAGCATACAGAAAAACAACACAAGGACATTCTGATTGTGAAAGATTTCCAATCTTCTTTGAAGGAAAACCAGATTTAGATGTAACAGGTATATAAGGTGTCACTTATTTAAATTCATTTAAAGTAAGACTGAAGTTTCTTTAGCCTCTCAAAAAAATTGCTCTCCATCAGAAGAAAGGGATGGCCTTGAATCTAGTGTATATGAAAGAAATCTTGTGATAATTTCTTTAATCTTCAGGTCCCACACATTTCTTTTATCAGAACTGGCACTGCATTTAGGAAATTGTGATACTCACTTCTCTCTTATAAAAACACCAAGCACTTAATCAGAGTAAACTAATCCTGCATGTCCTTCGATTTCTTCACAATCTCTTAATGAATTAGGCTCTCCTTCTACAGCCATATAAAACATGTCACTTAAGATAATGAAATTGAAATTAAACCACGGAGATAATTCATTGGGTCAGCTTGTTCTTAGTGACAAATTTAATTCCACATAAGAAACAGACTTTTCCTTCTGTGGCCTTTCGATAAACGCACTAACAAAAATGGGTCTAAACACAACTGTTTGGGAAGCCAAATAATGACTTCTTGTACTGAGTTTGTAAGGTGACAAATCTGAAGTTCCAAAAGACAACTTTTATCACATCCCCTTCATTATTCCAAACTACCTTTTAATATTCTTTTCCTTAACACAAAGGCATTTACATTAGTAAATCTAGCCATCCTTTTGAATCCGATAGAAGGGCAGCTCAATAATATTCCTTCCACTATCTATAGTAGATTGCCTCTGCAAATGCTTGTAGGCAGCTGCATTCCTGTTGAACCTGTGGCTATATCATGAAAATGCTCTATATTACTGCACCACGCTCAATGCTGTTATTCCTTATTAACTAATATTTCACAGAAAACATTAAATAATATTCAGAAATATTTTACAGAAATTGCTTTAGTGCATTTGCAATAAAAAAACCAGTGAGCTTAAACTTGCCAGCTTGAAACAGCCGACAGCTATTTAGGCTACTAAAATTATAGTTTTCTAAAGTGAGTTATTGACTTGCTTATCATATTTAACTATTTGGATCTATGCATGTGCCTATTCATATCAGCATTTTACAAATAAGCCTATTTGGTTTGCAGGCATTGCTTATAAATTGTTTTATGATTACAAATAGATAAACAAACAAACAAACTGAAAGACACTATAGAATGCTAATTAAAATAATAAAGCAGCTAGAAGATGAAGTGATATCTTTTAGCTAGGAAAAGGCCTAACTTAGTCAGTTCAATTCATGCATCAACTGGTGGTCATGGCAACCAATTTTTATTTATTTATTATTTATTTATTTGTCTTGTATGCCGCCCACTCCCGGAGGACTCTGGGCGGCTCACAAAAGACAAGGGAAAGGGGGGAACGAGACAAAGACAACATATTAAAAACAAAACCAACATTCACAATTTCTGTGAATGCCATATTAATTAATTAATATACTATGGTTAATATCAGGGCTCTTTCAATGACTATGCCATCAATCATAAATGATAAAAAATACAATAATGAAATTTATTATACACTCCCATACTTTAAGGTTGATACGTTTATAGCGTCTAACATGGCTGTATAACTTTTGTGGGCTAGGTAATGAAATAGAAGGCATTTCATTCTGTGACCTACGAGAAAGTTCGTCTAGTAAAGTTGACCTGGAACCTCAAATTAAACCCCCTGGATCACGGATCCATCATGGACACAAAGAAATAAATAAAGGTAAAACACCTAGCATCTCTTCATCCAGGAAAGAGAAGTACACACAAATGTTACAAATCCAGTATAATAAAGCAACCTAAACGTAGAAAATAGAGAAGCTTATAAATGTGTCTCTCCAGGTATACATACACACTCATGCATTCTGTTACTCATACAATATTTTATTTGGCACTTAATAGATTACAGGTTAGAATTCCAAAATTAGAATACCATTGTAGAAAAAAAAATTACCTTTGTAGATGATTTATGTTTCTTATAGAAGAAACCAGAGAGGCCGTCTAACTCAATCCAATCAGAATAGAGCTGGAAGAGACCTTGAAGTCCTCTAGTCCAATTCCTTGTTCAAGCAGGAGACCCTATGCCAATGTTTCTCAACCTTGGTGACTTTAAGTCCTGTGGACTTCAACTCCCAGAATCTGGGGGATTCTGGGAGTTGAAGTCCACAGGACTTAAAGTCACCAAGGTTGAGAAACACTGCCCTATGCCATTTCAGATAGTGGCTGTCTACTCATTTCTTATAAAATCTCCAGTGATGAAGCCTCTACAACTTCTGAAGGCATTGACCAGATTGATATGAGAGCATGTGGTCATTCATAAGCTTTTAGGAACTCAGTAGTGAATTTAAGGTCATGTACCTGGGTCAAAATTGACCCGTTCACTATGGACCAGAGTTACAATTATGTACCACCTGGAGTTTCAGAATCATTTCGCAAGGGCAATCCCATTCTTAACATATTATGGCTTTGAAGGATTCTAGATCCATAGGGTGATTTGGAGAGATGCTGTAAGAAACTCCTTAAATGAGCTTTTTTCCCCTGAAACCTAGAAAAAACTGTCCATTGGATTTAAGGTCAAATAAATATAATATACATGGCTGCAGGGGGCCCCAGAACAACTTTTCCCTTTCAAACTTCCTTCGCTGCAGTCTTGCAATGTATTATGTAATTCAATTTAGCAGTTATATTAGCTATCTATATCAAAATTATACCTAAAAAGTTAACAAAGGACCACAAAGCTGGTGAAAAATTGTGGGTTTAGGATTATGGTAAATTGCCTATTCTGGGTGAGACTGACTTCCCAGATTCAAATGATTACTTTGCTTTTACAGAACTAATCTGTGGAAACAGAGTTTGCAGCAAGATAGCAGCCCCCCAAAAAATCTCATTATACATTTCAGTTTATATCGATAGTTCTCCCCATTACGGGCATAAGCCGTGATGTTTACAAAGTGGGTTATCATGTGAGTGATCTATTACCTTTTCTGATGTGGTCATTAAGTGAATGACTGCTGTCATTAAGTAAATCTGCAGTCTTTAAGCGAACCAATTGTTCGCTGTGGGGCATTTTTGCAGAAAATCACACACTCCAGTTTTCAGCAAAACAAAAATATCAGAGTCACTTGAATCCCGGATGCTATAAACCGCTGTAAACGCAGTCACATGACAGAGGGGAACTGTCCATCTGAGCTTCAGAGCTAGGCTGTAAGTACCTTTTGGGAGTCCGTTGTAACTTCAAACAATTGCTAAACGATCGGTCATAAGTCAAGGTCTCCATGTGTTGCAACGTATTTTGTTTTGCTGCGTGACCCGTCAAAACCGCGCTCGACTAAGCCGCGCCTGATTAAACCGCATCGCTGACGTCATCAACAGGGCGACAACAGCCAGCACGGAGAAAGAAGGGCGCTTTAAATAATGCTTTGAAAGCAAGCCGACTCAACTTAAGGTAAGGGTTAGGTTTAGGGTTAGGTTTAGGGTTAGGATTAGGTTTAGGGTTAGGTTAAGGATTAGGTTTAGGGTTAGGTTTAGGGTTAGGTTAAGGGTTAGGGTTAGGGTTAGGTTAAGGGTTAGGATTAGGTTTAGGGTTAGGTTAAGGATTAGGTTTAGGGTTAGGTTTAGGATTAGGTTTAGGGGGGTTAGGTTTAGGGGGGTTAGGTTTAGGGGGGTTAGGTTTAGGGGTTAATTTTAGGTTTAGGGTTTACAGCATGCTTCTCTCTCCGCGCTGTTGTCGCCCTGTTGATGATGTCAGCTACACGGTTTAGTCGGACGCGGTTTAGTCGAGCGCAGATTTGTGATGGAACCGTTTTGCTGTAGAAAAAGTTTGAACACAGTAAAGCAGAATTTGGCCCATAAGTATTAATCTTTTCATAGCCTTTATAAGTTGCCGTCTCCTAGCAAAAGATTGTATTACCATCTTCCGAGCCACCTTTTCTAATAATTGAAAGGCAGCATTATAATAATTCAAAACATTTTGATAAATAATGAAATATAATTATTTTCAGGTTCATCGCAAAATAATTGGATTGCTTATCAAAGGATTTGTAAAAAAGAAGAGAGAGAAAATTGTATAGATAGATGTGACAGGTAAGGTCTGTTACAGTTTGTGCAAACTTGTACTTCGGTGAAACATTAATTATGCAGATATATTTAAGTTAAAAGGGAAAAATTGTAATTGTTGGATGTCTTTGCTATTGTGCATAAATGCCTGAAATCAGTCTGTCAAATAGTGCATTATTAACATCTTGATTTAAATTGTTGGATTGCCAGGTTTTCTACATTTTGCATGTTAAACATGGAATGTACTGTATGAACATTTTTTTTTTAATTTTCTTATGCTCTGTCTTTTTAGACAGAATCTATATATTCCCCAAACTCGCTATTCAAAGATGCAGGATAACATTATCCTTTCACCACAGTACCTCTCTGGTAGCAATATTAATGGAAGGAAGTCAGTCAGTAATAGAAGAAAAAGGCGAAGTAAAGACATAAATAACACGGTAAGACAAGATCATTATTTACAAAAGCAATATTGTTTAGTGCTTGGTGGAAAGTCTGAGAAATTTATATTTCTGATGTTTTTAAGAATTTTGAGTTGTCATGCTCTCAGTCCTGTTGTTTAGGCAATGGGTCCCAGGAAACATGTCTGTTGGAATGAATCCCTGCTTAGATTTGCTTGGCCCTGATCTTGCCTTTAAAATCCTGTTTTCTTCCTTAGGCCCCGGATATGGAAGCAGTATGATCTGTTGAATAAGTCCCCCCCCCCAGCACTTTGTGTGTTTGTATGTGGCTACTTTAGGTTTTTGTTTTAATGTTTTGTTCTATTAAGTGATTTTTTGTTGGTTTTTTATTGTTTCTTAGTGAAGTATTCTGCCCTATGTTGTATGCTCGCTAGGGGGTGTATATATACCAATCAATGAAATGACTACCATATTTTTCGCAGTATAAGACGCACCTTTTTCTCTCAAAAGAGGCTGAAAATCTGGGTATGTCTTACACACTGAATACAGCATTTTTTGCCTCCTGAAACCCCACCCCCTTCACCAAAATGGCCGTGCATAGCCCTTAGGCAACTTCCAGAGTGCTCCTGGGGACTGGGGAGGGCAGAAATAAGCAAAAAAATGAGTCATATTTTTGCTCAATTTTGCCCCCCCCCCCACAAGCCCCCAGGAGCACTCTATAAGCCTCCTAAAGGCTATTCATGCCTTTTTTTTTAAAGGGCTCATTTTTGCGAAAAACGGGCTGTTTTGGTCTACAGAGTGCAAAACCTTTTTTTTAAAATTTGCTTCTTCAAAATCTTGGTGCGTCTTATACTCTGGTGCGTCTTATACTCCAAAAAATACGGTGGTTAAAACTAGATTCTTTAAACTAGCTAACAAAATATATTTGATGATTATGAAATTTTGGCTTTAACAGATCTTAAACTGCACTTTGGATAATGCTATACAGATGGCAAACAATTTGAAGACAACAACAGAGCTTATGATTCAAGCTGTCTCAGAAGATTTAGCCAAAGTCAAAATTCAGACATTATCCAGTGGAACAGCTCATCAGTACTGACAGTGTATTTTGGAGACTAATAAACTATATCTAGAATAGAGGTATTCCATGCAAAATTAAAATAGACTACTGGAAAAAGAAACTTCTCATGTTGGGTTTTGATGTAGCTAAATTCTGTGTCCAAATAAATCTATTTTTACGGACCATCTTAGATACGTCACAAAATGTTTTAGTTTCCTTAAAAAATTAATGGTTCTTTACAATCAAATATTATGCTAACAAGTGATATGTTATCTACATTCATAAATGGAGATAGTCAATACTGCTACTCATATTTACCTCCTAAATGCGCTTGCCATGTTTCAGAGGTATCTTATTCATTCACCTCAGCACCATCCCACTAACTTCCTGTGCAAGCCAGGAAGGACGGGGAACAGCCAAGATAGCATACTATTATTAAGTAACAAACCACAATGCCATCAAACATGGGTTTTAAATTAATAAATTACCCAATGATTCTGGTAACAAATTAGGAACTGTATTTCCCAAATGTACGTGCTAGCGAAGGACAGGGTCATTTAAATAAGCAATCATGGTTTGTTTTTTCTAATACAATTTGTACCATTTTGAACATCTTTAAGCTCCCAATTACCCCTGTAAGCCATGGTTCCACCACAAAACCGCGTTCGACTAAAGGGCGCTCGACGAAACCGCGTAGCTGACGTCATCACAGCACGACAACAGCGCAGAGAAAAAAGCACGCTGTAAACGCTAAACCTAAAATTAACCCCTAAACCTAACCCCCCCTAAACCTAATCCTAAACCTAACCCTTAACCTAACGCTAAACCTAATCCTAACCCTTAACCTAACCGTAACCCTAACGCTTAACCTAACCCTAGCCCTAACCCTTAACCTAACCCTAAACCTAACCCTAACCCTAACTCTTACCTTAACTTGAATCGGCTTGCTTTCAAAGCACTATTTAAAGCGCCCTTCTTTCTCCACGCTCGCTGTTGTCACCCTGTTGATGACGTCAGCGACGCGGTTTAATCGGGCGCACTTTAGTCGAGCGCAGTTTTGTCGTGCCACGGTAAGCCATAACTCTTCATCTTCTCTTCTCCTGCTCCAATCAATACTGCAGTTTTCCAAAGAAACAAAGAGGGAAGGAAATGACCAACTGGTCTATACTGCAGTCTTTAAAGATTCTCTAGAAACACAAGGCAACACATTCTCCAATGTTCTTTAATTATGGTAAAGTGTTTATTACATACCCGAATTTTATCCAAATACCATAAAAGATCCATGCAATCCCAGACACATATATTTTATAATTTATATCAAATGTCTCAGAAAAGAAGTTAACTTTTTATCTGTAGTTTACTGCAAACTGTTTTCAATGAAATTGAAGTTGCATAGAATTTTGTAGCTCTACATCTGTTAATTGTGAAATTGTGTTACACATATATATATTTTAAGTTTCTTCCATAGTTTAATTTAATAACATTTTATAACCACATATTTAGAAACAGACATGTTTCCATGATAGAAAGTGTACACTATTATTGAAATTATTAGCATATATACAAACATGTTCTCCAAGTCTTAATGTAATAGGTTGTAGTGATGAACATTCCCTACAGTGAATATTTCACAACAAAAAGTCAGTTATTATATAACGCAAAACAATATAAAAACACAAGCTGTTGCATGCACTTCATTTTGACAATCTTCCCATTCCCCACCACAATGAAAAGCAGCAATCTCAAATGATAAAAAAAACAATTCTAAATAACACTTATTTGTAAAATATGTACACAGAATACAGCCCAGTTCAAACTGAGTGCTCTTAAATACCCACTGATTTCAAACAGAAGTTGCAAAAACAGTTAAACTGTTTTCTTCCAGTGAAACCAGGGGTCTTTAAAATGCTTATGTCCAGCTAGATTACATCCATAATATCTATAGCATGATTTTTTTTGATCTGTTAAGTTCAGCAGAAGTGAATGCCTCACTATTTCTACTCATCCTTCAAATACACACTATCCTTTGGTTTTGTTACAGTAAGTGCTTTTACATCATCCAGAAGTCTTTTAGGCGTCACAGTGTGAGTGGATCCTGGTAAAAGAAACAAAACACACAACGCATTCATGAACATTAATTTACCACATTCATCACTGATAGCAGACTAGATTAGGGTTTTTCTAACGTGCAGAAGAAAAACGAAACATGAAAAACTTGATATAGTTCTATTTGAGAGTAAGGAGAAAGCAATTGTAGGGGCATTCATAGCAATTTTTTTAAATAGATGTTCATATTGTCACTTCATTATACGTATAAGTATGTACTTATAAATAATTCAAGGCAACAAATTTACCTAATACTATTACTACTAGTTTCCCCACAACAGCCCTGTGACGTAGGTTGAACTGAGAGAGAGAGTGATTGGCCCAAAGTCACCGAGCAGCATTCATGCCAAAGACGGGACTAGAACTCAAGCGGTGTTCTGGATGCCTTAATAACCACTAGATCAAACTTGATTTCTAAAGTAAAGTGTCAAGTTTATCAAGCAACATTCAAAAATTTGCAACTGTTAACAATTTATCATTTTTTTCACTCGAACCAGGTTTTCTTTCAACCAATTTTCAGGAGCCAGAAAAAAGCTTGAAAATCCTCAGACAAGACTGGAAAATGTATCTAAATACAGAGCTGAAATGTATGTAGTCCAGATGAGGAATGCAGAAATAAGGCAAATAACCGCAGCAGTTAAATGTGAACAGGAAAAGTAAAGACTTAGATCAGTGTTTCTCAACCTTGGCCACTTGAAGATGTCTGGACTTCAACTCCCAGAATTCCCCAGCCAGCATTCGCTGGCTGGGGAATTCTGGGAGTTGAAGTCCGGACATCTTCAAGTGGCCAAGGTTGAGAAACACTGACTTAGATGTTCAGAAAAACTGGTTATAGACATGCAATTGACTTCTTTGCACCATTGTTCCTAAACTCCAGCATGGTATATCTGATTTTCCTCATTTATTCCTTTCCCCATTTCCTTTTAAGATGCTTCTGCCATGGGTGGTGCAGTGGTTGGAATGCAGTATTGCAGGCTAACTGTGCCCATTGCCAGGAATTCAATCCGGACTGGTTCATGGCTGACTCAGCCTTCCATCTTTCCGAGGTCGGTAAAATGAAGACCTAGATTGTTGAGGGCAAATGGCGACACTGAAAACTGCTTAGAGAGGGATTTGTAAAGTACTATGGAGCCGTATGTAAGTCTGAATGCTATTGCTATTTGTACATTGCAATGAAAAAACTGGCGGGTGGAACCGCACAGCAACCATGCAAAAGAGAAGGGGGGGGGGAGAGAGAACGAAAGGCAAGATAAACCAGCCTTGTCCGACTCACCCCTTTAGAAAAGGGGGGGCCCCAACCCTAGGACTGTGGACTGGCACCGGTCCTCAGCATGCAAACAAGCAAAGCCCCATCCGTGGGATGCAGGCATCACATGAAACCACTCTCCCTCCGGTCTGCGGAAAAACCTCTCTCCACGGAACCGGTCCCTGGTGCCCAAAAACGTTGGGAGGCCACTGCTTTAGACCTTTCTAGAATTTACCCTAGCAGAAAAATGCAAAGAAAACATATAAAAAGTCACAAATCGTAAGATTTTGTTTTTTTGTGGCGGCTGTTAAGCAAAAGCAGAAATCATATGCAAATGATCATTAAGCATATGCAGTTGTCCTAAGTGCAAACTCATTGTTTGCTATGGACACTTTTGCCGAAAACCCAAAATGCCAGTTTGGGGCAAACCATTGCAAAACAGTCATGTGACTGTGGAATGCTGTAATATAGCAATAGCAATAGCAGTTAGACTTATATACCGCTTCATAGGGCTTTCAGCCCTCTCTAAGCGGTTTACAGAGTCAGCATATCGCCCTCACAGTCTGGGTCCTCATTTCACCCACCTCAGAAAGATGGAAGGCTGAGTCAACCCTGAGCTGGTGAGATTTGAACCGCCGAACTGCAGTTAGCAGTCAGCTGAAGTGGTTGCAGTACTGCACTCTAACCACTGCGCCACCTCGGCTCTTTTAAACAGCCTTAAATGTGGCTGTGTTGCTAAGTGCCACGGGAAGTGGAGCCTTGGGCATCTTGGGAGTGGGGAAGGCCTTGGGGGCACCAGGGCAAGATGACCTGTGCCTGGGCTAGGCCTCCAACGCCCCGCCCACCTATCCAGGAGGCACCCTGCACTCCGCTTAATGATCCACGCATTCATTTAACATTTCATTAGGGAGAGCAAAGATGGGGAGATCGTTAGGTGAGATGTTTCACCTAATGACTGCCGTGTCATGTGACCATAATGGGCAGGTTCAATTATGGTCATATCGCAAGAATTATCTGTATTCAAAAGATAGGCAGAATGGCTTTCCCTATAATATGTTTGTGTTATTTCATTTTCAGTGTTTCTATCTTTGTTCTTTGAAAGTTTCCCCCTCTTTTTTATATATTAAAGCAATAAAACTATTCTTAAAAGAAGGCTTACCAATAATAACTTCACAAGACTTGTATGCCTGAGAAACTTCGTAAGCACAACGGATCTCTGAATACGTAATGCCTCCAATGACAAAGACAATCAACTTTGCACCACCTTTACGTTCATCCAAGTAACTAGTTTTGGGTTTATGGCGAGCACTGTAAAGGGAAGCAGAAAGAACTGTTCAAACAAACTATCAGGAAAACAAGGAGCAATTGTGCCAAGTACATTTAAATTCCTAACCTCACTGCTCCTGAACCATTCCAGGGTGCCGGGCACTGTGAACAATAAGGCCACTCTTTTGAATCTAATTTATTTTCTATAGCATCCTAGAAAGCAAAGAAATATGATCCTGTTATACGATTCAAAGATTCACATTACCTGTAACCAGCAACCAGGTTTAAAGCCTGTATACAGTAAGAAAAAATTCTTAGATTAATGGGCAATACATTAACAAACGATCGGAACGGAAGTTGCCATTTATGAAGCACTTTCGCAATGAAAAGACATTTCATAGTCATTTCATAATTTATGTTCAGCATTCCAAATATTTATCACTTCATGTTCTTATTCCAAGACAAAGCATCTTGTTCATAAAACTAAATAATTTTCTACTTCTACACTGATATTAAGAGGAAGACAGAGCTTTTAGATATGTAGTCAATTTAAGGAATGAAAAATGCTGTATATTTCCAGCAATATTTATTAGAGTTCAGTGTGCGTGCGTGTGTGTGTTTGTATGTGTACAGTGTGTATGTGTGTGTGTGTGTTTGTTTGTGTATAGCTTTCTATTAAATCTTTGAAGAAAAGCACTTCTTTTTTCAGTGTTTTAAATATTTAAATATATTCTGGGACTTTTAAACTATTTGGCTTCTTGAAGGTACTTTCTGCATGTTACTCAAATGCTAAGAACTGAATAAAAAAGTGTGTGTGTGTCTTCCAAATATGCCATTAGTTAAGTTTTGTTGAAGAGAAATGGACATCTGTAGTCTTTCATATTCTGCAGAATAACATTTTTCTGTAAACCAAGGATACAGCATGGCTAAGAGTGAGGAATTGTTCCATTAAATATACACGTACACAGTCACGTGCTCTCTTTAAAATTTCTGCTTAAGCATTCTTCATGAAAAATTTACCTCCATGATATCTTTAACAATGGGTGTCCATCTAGAAAGCTGAAATGTTCCTTCTGAAGGGCGATTCCTTCTTGATGGTCTTCGTTGCATTGCAGACTAAAAAGTCAAATGTTTTTTTTAAGTAATCTTTATTAATTATACATTTTTTTAAGAGTAAAACATACAAATACAAATGTTTATTATCATCTAAGAAATCAGATATTCAAGCAAAAACCCACAGTAGGTAGTCCTCCTAAGTTGCAACTTAGCTAACTACTTTGTTCTTCATAAACCTAAATTATCTACCATAGCCTGAGATTCCATTAAACATTTCTCTTTTAATGCTCCATTCCATTCAATAAGAAAATATGTACAATCCAGCTTCAGAGTTCAAACGTTCAGGCACAGTGTAATAATATGAGACCGGTATAGTTGTAAGTTCAGCTTTCCTATCAACTATGAATACATTGGTTGCCCTCAGATAAGCATTACATCTGAGGTTTATCTTTATAGCCACTTTAACTTGAGATAATTATGCAAGCCTTTTATTAGGTTATTGAGACCATTATAAAACTTTTTGGAATGCTTTCTTATAAATTCAATATGATCAACAGCTTTTTGTGCTATTAATCTATATTCGGGGGGGGGGGGGGAATCTCTGACTGTGTTTCAAACTTTCATTGTCATTAATTTTCATAAATTATTCTAATTATAATGACTGCTAACAGAGGAATTTGAAAAATTAAGCGAGAAGAGAAAAATTTGCAAGACTGAGAAACAAACTAATGTACCGTATGAGAACCTTGAAAATAAGTAAAGTAAGAGTTTTCAGAGAAAAAAAGTTGTATTCCTTACTGTAGTGAGGACAGGCACACCAAGGTACTTCCAATTAGTTATCATGTTGCTGTCATTTTCTATCTGTACATTTTGGATCAACTTGTCCAAATTTTCTTGGGTTGTTCCTTTTTAATAAAAGTGACATTTTTGAATTAGTAATCAACAACAACTGTGTAGAGTAAATTGTAAGTTGCGTTAAACTATCAGTGAAAACCTTATATGCCATAGGAAATTATACCATGCTGAATGTTTCCATCTTGCCAGTGTTTATCACCTTTTCTTAGTTATACTACTCAAAATGTAATAATTTTTATTTTCATGATTTTAACAGATCATCATTTAAATAGTATTTCTCATGATTTTTCATCACCCTCCCTGAAACTTATTTTCCTATCGTTTCCTTTCCTAACTTATTTCTCTATTTCAGAGAATAATGCAATCTCCTGCTTTCCTGGCAATCTCACCAAATTAAATAATGTATATTGCCAAATGAATTTCTGTTAAAACTGCAGTGAAATCAAATTATCCTAGGATTCAAAAAATGATGGGGCCTGCAGAAGCACTGTCTAGCACAGCCATGTTTTTATTTTTATGCATTCAGAAACATTTTCTTCTAATAACCCAGTTCTACAACAAGCAATGTACAATTAGCAATCATCTTAAGAGCTCCTGACACTACAAAATAGTAACCATAGCTTTCCGAGGGTTTATATGATGAATGTAATGCTTCACCACATCTATATTTTATCATATATTTTCAATATCAAATTTACAAGCTGAAGTGGTTCTGAACTGTATATGAAGCAACCCTTACCATTTGTGCTGAAGATATAGAGAAGAATAGCTCTTATTTTATCATAGCTATCATGGCTTTTATTAAGCAGGACTGGAAGGAGAACCCGCATTGAGTCTTTCACTTTCTGTCCCTCAGCATCTGTTCCAAGAGCCAAGTCCTAAATTATAAACAAGAAAATACAGCAATAGTTTTAGCATAATCTTCACTGTAATATTACAATTGTTTTATTTTGTTCAATAGTGGTAACTGTGAGAGGGATCTTGGAGTCCTAGTGGATAACCATTTAAATATGAGCCAGCAGTGTGCAGCAGCTGCCAAAAAGCCAACACAGTTCTAGGCTACATAAACAGAGGGCTAGAATCAAGAACATGTGAAGGGTTAATATCAGGCAAGGCCACACTTGGAATACTGCATTCAGTTTTGGTCGCCACGATGTAGAAAAGATGTGAAGACTCTAGAGAGAGTGCAGAGAAGAGCAACAAAGATGATTAGGGGACTGGAAACTAAAACATATGAAGAACGGTTTCAGGAACTGGGTATGTCTAGTTTAATGAAAAGAAGGACTAGGGGAGATATGATAGCAGTCTTCCAATATCTCAGGGGTTGCCACAAAGAAGAGGGAGTCAAACTATTCTCCAAGGCACCTGAGAGTAGAATATGAAGCAATGGGTGGAAACTAATCAAGGAGAGAAGCAACTTAGAACTGAGGAGAAATTTTCTGGCAGTTAGAACAATTAATCAGTGGAACAGAAGTTGCCTCCAGAAGTTGTGAATGCCCCAACACTGGAAGTCTTTAAGAAGATGTTGGATAGCCATTTGTCTGAAGTGCTGTAGGGTTTCCTGCCTAGGTAGGGGGTTGGACTAGAAGACCTCCAAGGTCCCTTCCAACTCTGCTATTGTATTTGTATTTAAGCCTTCATTCCAGCTATAGAATTTTGAGGAGTTTCTTGTCACATTTGAACTTTTAGTGAAAGTCCTATTTCCCACACATAACTTTTACTGGATTATTTTGCTAAAGTAGGTTCCAAACATTCTGAAAATATCAGAAGCAAATAAAACAGAGCTGCATTGAAACATGTATTAGTCAATCTTGAAGTTCATTATAAGAAATGAATTCACCGTATCTATTTTATAAATAAATCAAACCACTGTGTTGCTTGTTCTCTTCCTACCCGTAATTAAAAACTAACAATGGGACACTGTGGCAATTTCATTTCCAAAAGTTTAGAATCTGATACAATTAAGGCCCTTCCAGTTATCCATGAGCTAAAAAGACTGCAAACAATATTTTTGTCCTAGAAAAGAGTGCACTGCTCAAGTCACGTCAATATTCACATATGTTAAGTGTTACTTCATCTTAAGGTAAACTATGAAGCAAAGTTGAGGGCTGAATCTAGACCCCAAACCATTCAGAAGTATCTGAGTCCCATCTCCAACATTATTCAGTTCTCCAGGCATGATGGAACAATCTTCTCATGTTTTGTTGGACAAAACAGAAAAGCAGCATTTCCTATTGTATTTCAACCTATGTAGACTGCCGTTAAAAAGTAGGGATCCCCTTTATAATATCACTTTTAGTGATTTCTCTCTGTGAAGTAGATGGGCAGTTTTAAAATTAGATGGATGGATAGTGCCAGGACTGCCATCTTGCTGCACCAGCCATACTTCGCCAGATGCCAGTCTGCCATAGATTATGGGGGGAAGGAGCTGCGGGGAGGAAGAGGGTGGAGACTGGGAATTAGGGAAATCGAAATTACTCTTGGTGCCTTTCCTTGGGAACTGCTGAGTACTAAGGTCATGGATTGGAATGCAACATCAACTAGCCCACCAAGCCAGGGACTTTTACCAAAACAATTTGTTTGAATATAATTGAACAATTTGAGATAACCATGGGGAAGGTGGAAAAAGTTAATTAGAGCTTTGAGACACGAAACTTCAGATCTGACTTTGCTACTGTGTAACCACTTGGCTTTAATAAAGTGTACTTTGGTTAATAATGGATACAAGTATTTCTTTTTTAACTGACCAAGTCGGGACGATGCATGAATGGATGGATAAAAAAAATTAATTTAGGATTTGTCTAGTATAAAAAACCCAGGATATTTGAATGCTTTCACATACCTGTTCCACTTTGCACAGCTTTTCTATATTACTCTTAAATTTATTCATGCAATCTTCGGCTATGTTAAGGTGCACAACTTGCTGCAAAAAAGAAGGGGGGAAAGCTTATTTTTTTTCTGGAATTATGCTAAATTATGTTTACAATTCAAAAAATCATTGACAAACATTTGTATTTCCTAGAACCGATGTGATAATATTTGGATGTAAGTAAAAAGCAATCACATTATTCTAGGCAGACGCTGTTGTAAATGAATAAGACTTACAGTATAATCAAGACTTTTTTATTTCTGAGACTATAGTTGTAATAGTCAGAAGAAAATACATGCTTAGGATTATCATGACATAATGTAAATTATTGGTTTTTTTTAATGAAATTCAGAATATTGTTAATAGGAATTCTTGAAGGTTAATATAAACAACTGCAGCAAATTAGAAAGTTCAGAATCACAAAATTTAAGCATTAAATTCCTGAGACTCATTAAGAGTTATACAATCCTTTGAGGTCTGCAGTGGTATTTAAATTACTAAAAGCAAGAGTAAATAAACTATGATCTGCTCCAACAATAACCATAATAAATATACAAGATCTCTTTAATTCAAATACAAAACTACCTAAAAATCATGGTTTTCATACACAATACATGGTGTACTAATACAGGTATATCTATAGCCATGCTTTTATCTCAGCATAATTTGGGCAGAGTTTTAGGCCATAATCAGGATTTAAAAAGAAGTCAAAATTTCCAATATAGTATGGATTATCGAAGCTCAATCATTCTGCTGTGAGCTAAATAGATCGTATAAGTTAAAACTGTTGGCTAGCTCTGAAAATTGGTTTCCATCTTCTTCACCTACTAACAAGGAAATTTCACCAATTTTATAAAATAGCCATATTAAACATGACAATTATTATTGATACATGAGAAACTGATAGCTGCCAGTTTTTTTTTTTTTACTACAAATTATGGTATTTATGTGTGATGTTTCTGGGTAACAAAAAACACTGGAGAACTTTACAATGAATAAAGGATATATTCAAACCTGGTCATTATTAATATAGCTAACAAGAATTTTTATAATAAATCACCTTCATATAAATATCATTCTGGATAGAAATACTGAATAGATGTTTATAATATTTTGTATTTTTTTCTCTCAGAAAAATGTATACTTTCAAGTTCGTCTCTTCCTTCGCTTCCTCCCTCTGCCATTTTCTTTTTTTTTTCTTTTCATTGCTGATTTATTTTCTTTTTAACTATATTTTTAAAAACTGTTTTCTCCCAGTTTGTCATATAATATTCTGCTTACCTTAGTAATCTGCTTGCGAAAGTAGGGCATCTTTTTCATAAGTTGGGCCAGATTAGTTAATGATATCTGGGGAGGGGGAAGCATTTGTAAAATCAATTCAAATATTTCATATTTAACATTTCTTTTTGTTCTCTTAATTTTTTCATCCAAAGATCAGGAAATAACATTATATAGAGCTTCGGTGACACACTGGTTAGAGTGCAGTATTGTAGGCTACTTCTGCTGTCTGCCGGCTGCCTGCAATTTGGCAGTTCAAATCCCACCAGGCTCAAGGTTGACTCAGCCTTCCATCCTTCTGAGGTGGGTAAAATGAGGACCCAGATTGTTGGGGGCAACATGCTGACTCTGTAAACGGCTTAGAGAGGGCTGTAAAGCACTGTGAAGTGGTATATAAGTCTATGTGCTATTGTTATTAACACAGAGTACAAGAAAATTAGCAAGATTACTGTCTTGTAGATAAAGTAACAATATTGTCGGAATATGTTTTATGGACTTTAAGCCTACCTAGGATTTTAATCATTTGTCAAAATGATTAAGTACTAAGGGCATTTTATACATAATTACCAAAGTATTTATAAACACAGAGAATTTATATATAAAGAAAGGAACAAGACAAGACTTTACTACTTATATTGACTTTGGAAGTCTTGAACAGGAATATTAGACAAGATCCAGAAATTAAAGGAATGGAGATAAGAAAGGAATGATATAAATTACCAGCATTTGCAAACAATTTGGTATTTATTGTAGAAAATTCATAAACTATTAAAAAAATAGAGGGGTTTAGAGAGGTAGCAGGATTGAAGATAAACACAAAAAATCTTACTTTGCCTTCTGTTGCTTTCCTTTTTGAAGAAACTTCTTTCACAAGTTTTGGTATTTCTCTGAAAGTTTAAAAGAAATCATATTAAATTAAATATACATAGAACAGTTGTCTATAATGTTATTTGCTTAATATGCCAAGCATTGTCTCAACCTTTTTATCCAGGAGAAACTTCTGAGTAATTTTCAGATCTCAGGGAACTCTGGAAGCTGAGATGTGGCATGTAAAAGACCCCCACTAGTTCAGAAAATGTTTGATTTTTTGTGTGTGAACACTGATTTAGAAAAAAAAAATTCTGAATGAGCTGGAATGAGCTGCCCCCGGAGATCCGGGCCCTACCCACTCTCATGGCCTTTTGCAAAGCCATTAAAACCTGGCTTTTCCGGCAGGCCTGGGGCTGTTGACCCCTTGATGGCGGTCCAGCCCCGTCTGATTAGGTGTCTGTTGTGTTCCTTTTTAACTTGGTGTGTCCCATTGTTTTAATAATTCTTTTTAATTCTTTTTTCATTCTGTAAGCCGCCCGGAGTCCTCCGGGATTGGGCGGCATAGAAATTCAATAAATGAAATGAAATGATCATGATCTTTCATAGAACCTGTAGTGCTTTCTCTTGGAATTCTAGAATTCAGAAGAACCCCCGTTAAAGAAAATCCGTTTCAGACAAACACACATTATGTATGTGTACCTAATACCACACAGGTTGGTGAGAAAAAATATTTTTTCATTCGACCAAAATAACAAAATGAGGAGGACAGGATATTTCACCATCAAATAACTTTGTGAGGTGCTTATATTTTAATATATCTACAGAACACTGTGGGTTCCCAACCCCTGGTAAAAAGTGTATTTGAATGCACACAATGAAGCACTGTAAGCAGAGTTATTCCATAACTGCGCTTACAATGGCTTTAACGAAGTGACACTTACTCCAAAACATCTGCGATATGTTTGTGCCTCATTTTTATCCAAAGATCATCGTCTTCCTCTAGAATGGCTTCCCTTTCCTTCCCACTTGCACCTTCGGTTTTATACCTACGTTTAAAAAGCAGTTTATTAATTTTAATCTATGAGGCTAAACATACAAATTATTTTTAGCACAGATATCTCAAAATTATGGAAAAGCAGTGTTACAAAGCTCTTATTTCGAATACGTATCAAGAACCTGATGAAGAGAAAAACCAGTTGCACTTTTCATGAAGTGCTGCAGTTTTAAGCATCGCCTACGTCCCTAAGTAAATGTGGAGGAAATATCCCATATGGAAAGTTTATGCTGAAAGTATAATTATATTAAGTTACAACACCACATATGAAACAGTGTGAACTGAAATGCAACACAGATTCCCTAAACTCAATTATACATTTATTTGGAATGCCTAGCTTCTCCTTTAGTACACTGAATTTGACACCACTCAGTTCTTTAATATCCTGTTGTGCACAGAATATTCTATTTTACATAAATAAATAATCCAAATATTAACTTCACATGCAATCATAGCAGACTCTGATAAAATAACTATTTAATTCACATATATTTATAGCTAACATGCTTAGCATTACATTTCCAACTATTAAGCAGATTACTAAAGACTGAAGGAATACTACAGAGCGTACTAAAGTTATGCCACGAAACACTTTATATGCATAGAAACTCACAGAAACTGATTCAACCAGAAAGCAGTAGAAATACAAGAGGGGAAAATTGAAAGTTAGTTTTAACAAAAGTTATCTCATGGCTATAATACTAAATAAAGTACTGACTACTCTTGAAGCATCTCATCGAGCTGAATGCTACGGTTGCTCACTAATAGCTTTATCACTATAGTTTCTCACTAATCACTTGTTTATATTTTATATACAGATATTAGGGCTGGGCAAATTCTTCAAGGTAATTCCTTATGAATGCACAGGATTGTGTAGGAAGCTCCTCTTTTCCCTGAGACATGTACCATATTTTTCGGAGTATAAGACATACCAAGGTTTTGAAGAGGCAAATTTTAAAAAAAAGTAGGTAGGTAGATAGAGGGATAGAGAGGGAGAGAAAGAGAGAGAAATACAGTAGGTAGGTAAGGAGAGAGAGTAGTTCGGTAAGTAGGTAGGTAGTTAAAGGGATAGGGAGAGAGAGAGAGAGAGAGAGAGAGAGAGAGAAATACAGTAGGTAGGTAGGGAGACAGAGTGTGTGTAGGTAGGTAGGTGGGTAGGTAGGTAGGTGGGTAGTTGGGAAGAGGGATAGAGAGAAAGAAATATATATATATAGAGAGAGAAATACAGTAGATTTGTAGGGGGAGAGAGAGTAGGTAGGTTGGTAGGGAGAGGGAGAGAGAGAGAGAGAGGTAGGGAGAGAGAGAAGGTAGGTACGTAGGTGGATAAAGGGGGGGAGAAATACAGTAGGTAGGAGAGAGGGGGGGAGAGAGAGAGAGAGAAAAGGTAGGTAGTAGGTAGGTAGGTGTTTCCAGGTGTATTTATCCATGTGCTGGAGAAGGAAATCGCTGACAATCTGCAGCACCTGATTTTGTTTCTGCTGGCACAGCACTTGATCAATGTAATTCTCATCAATCAGCTAAAGAGCTTTCCAAAAGGGGAAAAAAACATTTTTGCACTCTGCAAACTTCCCCAAAACAGCCCGTTTTTTGCAAAAACGGGCCCATTTCCCCCCAAAAAAGGGCATGAATAGTCTGGGGGGGGAGGGCTTGCAGAGTGCTCCTGGGAGGTGGGAGGCAAAAAATGGCCCATCTTTTGCTTATTTCTGCCCTCCCCAGCCCCAGGAGCTCTCTGAAAGCCTCCATAAGGGTATGCACGGGCATTTTTGTGAAGGGGGCAGGGCTTCGGGAGACAAAAAATGCTGTATTCAATGTATAAGATGCACCCAGATTTTCAGCCTCTTTTTTGAGGAAAAAACATGTGTCTTATATTCTGAAAAATATGGTAGTTCCTTCTAAAGCTACTCCAGGCTGCCTGTGCACATGGATGCATGTAATGTCACTTCACCAGCAGGCAGAAAGAACCGAGAGCAAATAATGAATAACTATGCAAATCTTGGAGAAAGACACTGTTGTTTTACTAATCCAGAAAGAGGTGGTTCATAGCCACTCCCTTATGTCCCTACAATCTCTTCGGAAACACTTACATAAGTCATACATACCAACAACTTACTCTTGGATTTCTGCAGTGAGATCTGAGGCCTGTTTAGATGTCATTTAAAAAAAATATATTTAAATGATTCTAAGCTGCCTTTAGGAACAAAAATGCTATCATGTTTGGCTGTTCCAGGATATAAATTAAAATACACGTGGAAGTTCTCAAGAAATCAAGTCTTTCCATTCTAGGAGTTTACAGAGAGATTGAATTAGTACTGCAATTGCATAATGGCTTGTTGATTATTAATTTAAATTGTGCCACAGAGGAAAATCTCTCACCAAAGGTCCTGCTTCTATTAAAAGTGCCCTCTAGAACAGTGGTTCTCAACCTTCCCAATGCCGCGACCCTTTAATAGAGTTCCTCATGTTGTGGTGATCCCCAACCATAAAATTGGTATCTCGGTTCCTAAGATCATCGAAAATATGTGTTTTCCGATGGCCTTAGGCGACCCCTGTGAAAGGATCGGTCGACCCCCAAAGGGGTCCCGACCCACAGGTTGAGAACCACTGCTCTAGAACAATGTTCCATGTTCTATTGCCCTCTAAATACATTAGAACACATTTCTTTGAACTCTAGCCAAATAATGTTTGGCTGTCCTGAGAAATAAATTAAAATACATGTGCAAGTTCTCAAGAAACAGATAATCCAGGTTAGTTCAAAACACAAAGCAAGGCATTTCATAAAACATACAAATGCTCAGTTTTTCAGCTGTCTGTTGCAAATAATGTCACTTTGGCAGTGAAATCAGAAGACAGTATTCCCAAGAAATACTTCATAGGCTATTTTTTGCTTAAAATGAAAATACGCACAAAAGTACATCAGAGCAACATATGTTGATGGGATGCACTGGACATTAAGATACTGAAATGTTGTAGCCTAATCATATGCTATATACAACTTTACTCAGAAATAAATCCCGCCATGCGGGATTTCTAAATATTAATCACTAGCAGCTACTTTTAAAGATTATAGGCTAAATCATTCTTTTCACGATTACGATAAATCAATGGATGATGATATGGTGGTGAGAGAAAGTCAACCCTTTAAAAGTATCTATAATTAGAATACAATGTAATGGTAAATACTGTGACCTACAATGTGATCTGAGTTTTGTTTAATTTCAGTAGATAATGAGATCCTGCTTAAACAAACAAAATAGTGTACTTTGTTGGATATATTAAGTCATATTAACTGTAACTGTTGGAAAAAATCTATGAAAGTTTGTAGAAATTTGTAGAAAGAAATACCTCCTACTATATGCTACTATATACAACATTTCAACAGAGTTAAGACCAGAACTCTGACTTAGCCATTCCAAAGGGGGGAAAAAACCTTCCTCTGCTTTAGCCATTTTTCCAATTAGATCATTGTCACACATGATACGCCTTCCTTTAAATTTCTGCTTCTGGATGGATAACCTAATATTGCTCTGTAGAATTTGCTGGTATGATACAGAATGCACTGAATATTCTCAATGATTAGGAGCCATCTAGATTTTAAGCCGGCAAAACAGCCTCAAACCATGATATTCCCATTGCCATGCTTCATATTTGTGGTGAAGTTATTTTGTGAGAATACAAAAACCACAATGTGGTTTTTTCCCCCTCAAACACTTTAAAGGCCAAAATTCCACTTTGTCTCATCTGCCCATAAAGCCCACTGGATCGTCTGCATGGTTTTGGGGAAACTTGAGATGGGTAACCATGGGTTTCTAGAGAACAATGATTTTCCTCTTTGGTATCTTTCCCGGCATACCGCTCTCATTTTAGTGTTTTCCATGTGACTCAAACTATCTTAGTTAGATGCTCAGATTGTGGCATATTATACTAAAGCAGTGGTTCCCCAAACTTGGCAACTTTAAGACTTGTGGACTTCAACTCCCAGAATTCTCCAGCCAGCTCTGCTGGCTGGAGAATTCTGGGAGTTGAAGTCCACAAGTCTTAAAGTTGCCAAGTTTGGGAACCACTGTACTAAAGGGTTCACACAATATTCTCTCACCATATTTAGGCAGAAAGTTTTCTGTTGCCTCCAGTGCAGAACCCACCATAGGTTTGTGACTCTTTAAATGAAAAAATCGCTAAGTTTCCATGGGACTGGGGATTTTGTAACCATAAGGAGCATGCCAGAATCTTCCCAGCTCCAAGAGTCAAATTGCACCACAAAATCAGATTGCACCACAAAACATTTTACTTCTTGGGATATTATTCAGACAATAAAGGATTCTCAAGAAAATAACAACTGAATGAAAAACTGCTGGTGACCTACGGCTGCACCATAGAGAGTATTTTAACTTGCTGCACTTGTGTATGGCAGATAGGACAATGGCATGATAGGAGGGTTAACATCCTTGCCCAGAGGATCATTAGTTGCCCTCTCCCTTCCTCGGAAGAGCTTTATAGCTCCCGCTGCCTTAAGACAGTTCAAAACATTCTTAAAGATCCATCTCATCCTGGGCACCCATTTTTTTGAACTATAACCACAGGACAATGGAAACAAGGACAAATAGGCTGAAAAACAGCTTCTGTCTCAGAGCAGTAACCATACTGAATTCTACTGCATAGTGTAATATTAATGCAGTATGGTGGGTTTTCAATTTTCAATTGTACAGAATGTGAAGGATGTGTGTTTTTGTTTTATTTTTATGGTTTTCTTATATATGATGTACACCATTTAATCTCATCGTATGATGTGCAATAACAATAAAGGGAACTATTAAACTATTGATAGACAAAGAGAGCCTGAATTCAAAATTGTATATTTACTTATGCATCTTTAAGCTGTTGCAGTTTGAAGCTACAAATCTGTGATTAGCGTATAAAGATCAAAATAAAGTTATACTTGCTTATATGTATCGTTTTCAATTGGTAGCAGATCGTAAGCCATTGCCTGAAAAGTCAGCTCATGAAGCACAGTAGACACAGAGTCAAAGCCACGGTCAATTATCAACAGCTGGGAATTAGTTTTGCCCTAAGATAAAAAAACAAAGAAACTCTGACATACCTTTTTGGCAATAAGATTCAAGATTTAATGAATTTGTATGCCGCCCAATCCCGAAGGACTCCAGGCGGCTTACATAAAAACAGTTTTAAAAATACTAAAAAATTTAAAAGACAAAGACAAAGCAAGTTAAAAGAACACAACATGCACTCAACCTGAGTGGGGCTGGAACTCAATAAGGATAAGTAAGTATAATCTTTATTGTCATTGTACTTAAATGCAACGAAATTGGTTACAGAGAAAAGAAGAACAGAAAGCTGATTAAAATTTAATGTGCAATTTTCTCTAAAACTGTTAAGTCTCTTTCCTACGTAGCTGTCCCAAGGAAAGAGAAAGCAGAGTTTAGAAACGATAGCAATGGAAACTAATGTTAAGAAGCATCAGACAGCAAAACCAAAATGCTCCTTTACCACCCACAACATGCTAATGAAAATAATATAGCAATAGCAATAGCAGTTAGACTTATATACCGCTTCATAGGGCTTTCAGCCCTCTCTAAGCGGTTTACAGAGTCAGCATATCGCCCCCACAGTCTGGGTCCTCATTTCACCCACCTCGGAAGGATGGAAGGCTGAGTCAACCTTGAGCCGGTGAGATTTGAACCGCTGAACTGCAGATAACAGTCAGCTGAAGTGGCCTGCAGTACTGCACTCTAACCACTGCGCCACCTCGGCTCTTGTTAATAATATTCAGACAGAACAGGATTTGATACTCTATTCCGTTCTCTATGAAGTACGTTCTTCCATTGAAAGAATGGTGCTATCCCCAAGTCAGTTTTTTTTATTGAAACAGAAATTATATGCAGAAGTTACGTGGTCTCAACAGTGCAATTATGTTTCCCTCCTCTGGTTGTTTTTGCTTGCTTTTCTTCTTCTTCTTTTTTTTTTTGCAGCTTCTTAACCGTGAGTAAATTTCACATTCCACTGATGGAAGAGCAAAAACTCCTTTCCAAGAGTATATTTCAAAACAATTCAATAAAAACTGCCGCAGTAACGGCACTTTTCTTGCCCAGCTGTACTTCCAAAAGATTGAGAGGAAGAAGCTATCTCTTATCGTTTGAGAGAGAAATGAGCTTTCACCCTTACCTTCACTTGACCTCGCTCATCAATTTTGTAAAAGTTTTCAAGCTTTTTTTCAACTAGCTGAGCAAGGTTGCTGGCATTATCCAAAGGTTTACTGAAAAAGAAAAAGAATGCAAATATTTATCTTTTAACATTATTAGCTCATTAATGGATCTTTAAAAAAGCATCCACTCAGTCCTGCAGAAATTAAAAAAAAAAACACTACATATTTATGCACTGGAGATTGCTTTAAGCCAATGTGGACTGTACAGATTAGTCCTATTCAAATTTAAATTGTAAGTTTACACCTTATTTGAAAGCTAACAGTTGGGGAAATCTACAGCGCATACAGGTAGTCCTTGACTTATGAACATAATTGAGCCTGGAATTACGATTGTAAATCATTGTGGTGAGGCACCCAACGGCTGCCTTGTTCAATAACTGCAAACCGGGAATGCCTAATTGTGATTTGCACGCTATCTCCTGGGTTGTCAAGTGGAAAAAGGCCCAAGTAAGGAGCACTTCCCCCCATCTCTGCTGGCCACTCTATATAGTAGCACAAGTGGTAGCAATTCCAACTGCTCAGCTGACCGTCACTGTCTTGAGCTGTTCTCCAAGCCGGCTTTTTTCCCCCTCTGGAAGAAGCCTTACTTACTTTCTGCTAGGAGGCATCCCGTTTTATCTGTAAGCCCCCACAATGTGCAGAAGAAATGGGGCACATGCAATATGGGGAATGAGGCTTTTAAAGCAACACAAGAACAACTTTCCACCCACCCCATTTTTGCAAGAACTGGGGAAGACCAGAAAGTTTCTAATTGCAGAAGAAAGGGATGCCTACTTGCAAAGCTGGGCTGCCAAGGGAAACGGAAGCCCACTTGCAGAGGGAAAGGATCATCAGCTTGGGGAATGGACTGAGGTGGTGAAAGTCAGCTGGGCAGCCTGGACAAATGCTGCTACTGCTGAGTATCACTGTGCAGGGTGCCTAGATGGGACAGAAATAAGGATGCAGGAGTTGCAACGCCCTTGCAGTCATAAGGGGCAGGCACACTATTAAGTGTCTGAATTTTCATCACATCTCCATGGAGGTGCTGCAGCCGCTGTAACTTCAGGCTTCAGGATCATAACTCCCTTTGTTCATTCATAATTTTGAATGGTCACTGAATGAATGTCACAAGTTGCGAACTACCAGTAAATGTCAACCGCTCTGCTATTTAACTGTAGCTATTTGCTGTTAATCAGATGAGTTGAAAGGATGGAATTAGGCACAAAAGCAATATTTATCAGCCACTTGACTAGGACGACACGTTTTTCTATCTTACAATAGAATTACAATTTTCTATCTTTTTGTTTTGGAAAACAAAAAATGTTAATGAGTGATAAGATGCCATCAGAAACCTAGGAATTTGAATTAACAATTCCACCCAATATTTTGCTTTTGGTTCAAAACTCTCCCTGACCTCAACTAGTCCTGAATTTCTTGACAGTCAAAAATAAAAGCTTTTAATTTACATCGTAACTTGACAATAGAACTCAATCTCCTGCACGTTCAGTAGATTTTGATAGCAGCGGTGTAGAAGTTTAACAAATGCATAAAGAAATTTAAGATCCTTTTCACATTCCAAAATAATATACTTAATGTCCAGATTGCTTAGGCGTGGAATTCCATTTATATTAAGCTAACATAACCCTCAATAAACCCTTAATGGTATAAAAACAGTGTTTCCAGACTTACCTTTTATATCTGACTCCTGGATTTTCTTCTAGAGTAGCACATAAGGTAACAATTTGCTCAGCAATTTGATCCATTATATTATCATTTGTTTTCTCTATGTTGGGACTATAACAGCGGTAGAATGGATTTGGGACATCAAGAGTAAACACCTAAATCAAGAAACAGTTTTTGTTACAGCCAACTGTTGGTCTATACATTGTCAAAAATATTAAACAAATATATGTCAAACATGCAGGAGAAATATAGGTCAAATGTACAGGAGAAATATAGGTCAGAAGTACAAGAGAAAGACAAACTCTATTATGGATACTTTTAAAAGAAAAATCTAAGTGGCTGACAAATGGCCCCAAGCAAAGAAGAACTCACAATACCAAAATATACATCTTACACTCTTGCTAATATACTGGCACTAATACCTGAGGGGGAAAGCCAGGTCTTATGGAAGGACAATAGGATCGGGACCAGAGCCGAGGTGGCGCAGTGGTTAGGGTGCAGTACTGCAGGCCACTTCAGCTGACTGTTATCTGCAGTTCGGCGGTTCTAATCTCACCGGCTCAAAGGTTGACTCAGCCTTCCATCCTTCCGAGGTGGGTGAAATGAGGACCTGGATTGTTGGGGGCGATATGCTGACTCTGTAAACCGCTTAGAGAGGGCTGAAAGCCCTATGAAGCGGTATATAAGTCTAACTGCTATTGCTATATAGATTTCATGGAGAAAGGCACCGTGACAAAAGAAGCACGTTTCCTGAAGCCCATTAGAAGACTATTTCAGAGAAGGATTCAGAGCATGGCTATCCTTTAAATCTGGCATGACAGGCTGAGACCACTAGAGACAGACACGTATCCTGGATCCATGCTGTGCAGGACTTTAAAGGTGGTAACTGGCACCTTAAATTGAATTGAGAAGCATACGGGGAGCCATCACTTTAGCAGTGAGGTCACATGGGTGTGCCTTGATGCACCCGAGATTGCATGCACTCCTACATTGTGAATAGGTGGAGTTTCTGAATACCTTTCAAGGGCAGCCCTGTGTAGGCTGCACTACAGTAATGCAATTAGGAAGTTACTAAAGCTTGAATGAACATGAGCTGAGCCTTCTCATTCAAGAATGAGTGCAGGTGATGCAAAAGGTGGAATTGTGCCAGCTATGCTTGCCATCTGCTCCTCAAACAGCAGCTAGAGCAGTGTTTCTCAACCTTGGCAACTTGAAGATGTCCAGACTTCAACTCCCAGAATTCCCCAGCCAGCATTCGCTGGCTGGGGAATTCTGGGAGTTGAAGTCCAGACATCTTCAAGTTGCCAAGGTTGAGAAACACTGAGCTAGAGTATGAGTCCAAAATGCCACTCTAGCAGTCTCAAAATCCACAACAGCTGAATCTTCTAAAAGTTAAATCATCATTTGTTGTTCCCAAGCCAGACCCCAATGCCTCTGGGCACTGAAATAAGGCATTCTGGTTGATATATTACAGTTGGGTTATTATATAGAGCCGAGGTGGCGCAGTGGGTAGAGTGCAGTACTGCAGGCCACTTCAGCCGACTGTTATATGCAGTTCAGTGGTTCAAATCTCACCGGCTCAAGGTTGACTCATCCTTCCATCCTTCCGAGGTGGGTAAAATGAGGACCCGAACTGTGGGGGCAATATGCTGACTCTGTAAACCGCTTAGAGAGGGCTGAAAGCCCTATGAAGCGGTATATAAGTCTAACTCTATTGCTATTGCTACATTCAAAACATCTTTGGTGCACTCAAGTACAACTGAGATTCTTAAAAAGTTTCTTCAGTTATCACCAGCATTGCTTTACACTGAACTGTATTTCATCTGATTCATAATTACAATATTGGTAAACTATGCCAAAAAAACTTAACTCTAGGGATAATCATAAGCCAAATATTTTAAGAAAACATACTATTTTCACTAATGCATTACTCCTCACTCTCAAGAGATTTGTGCTTAGTAACTGGATCATATACTAAAAGCAGGATCTAACATCCCATTCATAGGGAAAACTCTCACAAGTTAATTGTAGGCCAATCACTCTTTTGCAACTCAAAAATTGTTGTGAGAACAAAATAGGTGGGCAACTATAGTAATATAATACTCTGAGTTCCTTGGAATAAGAATAGACAAATATTAAGTTTAAAGAATATATGTGCCAAATAAGAACCACTCTTGCAGTTCTAGTTTAAAAAAAAACATAAGACGTAAAAACTCTGTTAGGTTTTCTGGTAAACAAAATGCATGTTAAGGCCACAATATAATACAGCTGACTTTGAAAATAAGCCCAGTGAAATAACTGTTTCTATCACTATATAAATACATTTACCAATCCCTAATTAGCCATTGTTTTTCAGCTAATGAAAAATTGGGAGTGGGCCAGAGAAGAGAGATGTTGTCTATATAATACTTCCACCCTGTGATCTTAAAAAAGTTCTAAAAGGAACATAAGGAAACCATTTAATTAGTTTTGTATAATTAGTTTTGTATAATGCTAAAAATGTGTTTTTATGGAAAAAAATAGATCTACAGATGTGATTTGAGTAACTTCATATTTTTTCACAATTTAACATTATTTTGTAGTCTTGCAAAAATATACACTCTCACCTCAAAGCAATTAATGTAGCTACATTTAATGTTTTGAAATGTATGGTATAAGATTTAAAAATAAAATAGAGAATTAGAGTATTAACTTTACCTGAGATTCATTAGGAATGAAGTTAATATTAATTTCTTTGCATCTTCTGATAGCTTTTGAACAAGATGACTTCATTTTATTGAAAAGTTTGTCGTCACAAACTAAAATGGGAAATATAATATATTACATGTTTTCAGTTTTTCTGCAACAAGTAAAATGCATCACCCTGTCAGTTAAAAATACTGAAATATATCTTGCAAATATCATGCATTTTTTCATAGCTACTTTCAGTTTATGCAAAATATTCCATACATAGTTGCAAACTACAGATCTTTCTTGACTTTTTGATATATGACCTAATCTTTCACATGCATGCTTTGCCATTTTCTTGCAAAAAAATTATTTCAATTTTGATTTTGATTTATGACACATCAATTGCTTCATGACTATGGTAAAAGGATTAACAATTGCCTTAAAAGTAGTTGTAAAGTCAAGTCCGGTCATATAGTGTCCCGACTTATGACTGCAACGACTACAAAATTCCAGACTCTATTGTGGTCCTAAGTGAAGGACTCCCTGTAGTTTAAAAACAAAACAGGCCAATTTGCAGAATTAAATATTTAATCAATTATTTTCATACTGGAATATTATGGTTTGTCAGACAATTTCATATCCTAATTGTAGCCCAGTGTAGCCAATACTGTTTTTTCATTAGAGAATTCCATCAAAATAGCTAACCAAGTCAGCAGATATGTATAGAAAATGAAAGTAAATTCTTCTGCATGCGACTATTGTTCCAAGCTAACATGCAAACCCTTATGACTCATGCTAGTATTGTTTAGATTTCCCAAATAGAATAATTTCTTCAGTGTCATGTGAAGCTCCAATAATCTACTATCACCCTGACAGTCTACAAACAGTTAAATGTCCCTTGTTTTAATCACCCTCACCCAATTTTAACAGTAAATGAAAATGCGGTTCTCTCATTTACACTAACTGTTATAATTGAAGATCAGTTATTTTTTCAATCTGTAAATACTTACAGTCAGTGAAGTAGACATAGGCTGCTTTGTACTTGCTGGCTGATTTACTTGCAAAGTCATTTATAAGTCCATCTACAGACTGAATCATGAAAAAAAAAGTTGGAATAGCTGAAAGGCATCTCTGGGGATAATTAAATCTAGCATTATGTATAGGATTTAGCAAGGGCTTGAAATCGGGCATCTGTCACAAATAGAAAACCAACAGATATTTTTTAAAAATGGCCTTAAATTCTATCAGTCCTCTCCTTAATGGCAGGTCTTCTACATTATTCTATGTACTCAGCACATGATGGGAATTAGAAAACTGTACACCTGCTGCTAGGTTAAGGATGTAGAGTCCATGACTCTACAGCAAACAAATAAATAATGTATGTAGGGGATGCAAAAAGAAATATCATCCTATACTCATCTATGTTTACCAACTGCTGAATCTAAACATATTGTCAAGAAAGAACTAGCCTTGAATAGACCTTGAGTTTGAGTTGAGTTTGAGTTTATTGGTCTTGTATGCCGCCCACTCCCGAAGGACTCCGGGTGGCTTACAATAAACAAGGGGATAAATACACAAAACAACACTTTAAAATGCACAACAGTCACAGTTTCCGTGGGGCTGGATATTTCGAGAGCACCCCTGGCCTGCTGGAGCAGCCAGGACTTAACGGCTCTGCGGAAGGCCTGGAGGGTAGTAAGGGTCCGGATCTCCACGGGGAGGTCGTTCCAAAGGGCTGGAGCTGCGACAGAGAAGGCTCTCCCCTGGGGAGTCGCCAGACGACATTGGCTGGCAGATGGAATCCGGAGGAGACCTAACCTGTGAGATCTAATCGGTCTATGGGAGGTAATCGGCAGGAGGCGGTCTCTCAGGTACCTTAAACTGGAACTTAAGCCATCAGTATAAATATGTAACCATAATGTAATGCCATGATCCCTACATAAAGTAAGGAGAAGCAGACATATGGCTAAGCACTAGTAACATTAGGCAAGGTTTTTAAAACTCGTCCATCCAACCTAGACATACTTCAGCTACTGCTGAGAATTCCCCTCCACAGGAAGTGTATGGGACTTGGGTCAAGTGATAGATCTTGGAAATGGCTACCATGTTGGGATATGCTTTGACTAGAACTATGTTTAGCACTCTCTCTCCTTGCATTACAAAAAAAAATTCAATTAACTGCCCACACATTTCTTGCTTGTGTTGTTTTTTTTCTTGCCTTGCCTTAAAACAGAATAAAAAAAAGAATTATTCTTCTGGAAACTAACCTTTGTTGTAGGCGTAATAAGATAAATGGCTTTCAGGTGCGGGACTGGCTCACGGTTTTTGTAAACATTCTCCACGGCTGCAAAATAAGATATTAATTATAAGAGGTACATTTGCATGCTAACTTTAAAATACTAACATATGTAAATACAAGATGAACTAAGGTATAAATTGCTAGATTTTTTTAAAAAAATTGAGAGTTGGAACTGAATGCTGGATCCAGATTGATGAAACCTCTCCGGAGGAAGGAAAAATCACTAGATAGCTCCTGTGACTCCAGATAGCTATTCCTTGTGAATAGACTGCAGGGACTGTTATTTTACAGCTGGCTTATAAATTGAGTGGCTGGGAGTTGAGGATTACATCAATCCTATACCACAACACACCCTTTTAAGGACATAAAGCTCAATTCAGCTTCATTTCTTTCTTCACTTTTGGACTTTTTAAATTGTACTGGAAAGATTACGGCCTTTCAAATTGGCAAGGTTTCACTGTGTTCATCAGGTGAGTTGTCTTCTGGAAGAAATATGGTTTCAATATGATTTTAAAAGCTCTAGTTGTTTTTTTTTTTTTTTGATTACCAGCAAGGAAATTTAGAATATGGAGTTTGAAAAGTTAACAACAAATTAACGGTCCATATGGATTTTGAATCATAGTTTTGAATTTATTAGAAGAATCATTCCTGTGGGAAATGAAGATTGTTTGGGGTTTTTTAGAGAAAAAACATGATAATGGAAAACCTAGAAAGTTTGACGCGAGAGATATACAGTAATAAATTTGTATTGTTTACAAATAAATTTTAAAAAGGAACAAAAATCCTTAATAGATGTTTTTGAAGACTGGCCTGCAAAATTACTTGATATGAGAGACAGTACATGTACAGTACAATGAAATTACAGAAGAACAAGGTACAACAATTAATTTTGAAATTAATTTGAAGGTGGGCTTAAACCAATGAAAAGCATATGGAGAAAGATGTACCATATACTGAAACAAAAGTTACAAATGTCTTACTCCCTTAAAGGAAATGTAGAACTATTAAATTTTTAAAAAAATGATTTGGATAGCTTTTTCTTACTGTATCTACAAAACAGTACAGTTAAGATCTTGAAGAATTTTATGAAAAGAGACAAAAGGAAGGACAAGTTTTACTTATTGTATGAACAAAGAAGCCTATTAAAAACTTTCAAATATTTTTAGTTTAAAAAAAGATGAACAAAAAACAAATTCTGAGACTCTTATTGAAAAGGTTAAAAATGAAGACTCCTAAAAATTCAGGGAAGGAATAAAAGGTTGGCTTACTCAATCAAAGTTAAAATATCAAATTAGCTATATCTGGTTTCTCTTACTAGATTTTTGCGGATAAAGAAGAAATGACAAGATTTTTGACCTTTTGTTGTTAAGAGAGGAGTTATGTGATGAAAAGAGTTTATGTTGTATTTAAAGCTATTAACATTGTTTTACTTGGTATGAAGGGGGGCATTCTTTTTGTTTTTCCTTTCTTTTTGCTCTTTTTTCTTATTTTAATATCCATCTCCTTCCATTTTTATTAGCTTTTATTCTTTCTATTTATAATTCTTAATATAATTATTTAAAATAAATGAATACAGTTTTTAGTTTGCAAATGTATTAACTGGCCAAAACTATGCCAAGGTGATTAATTCTGCTTAGGAGATACTTACAAGTTATGCCTTCTGCAAGTAGGTCTGTCATTTTACCACATGATGACAGCAGCCTGGTAGTAAAGTCATCTAGAAGAATTATCTTCATAAATAAAAGTGAAAATCAAATCAATAGTTCAGACAACTGAGTACCATGTTAGACTTCAAATTACATTTTGGTAACTTTGAGGTTGAGTGAACTTGAACAACAAAGTCATGAATATTAAAAATACTTTTTATTACAGGATTACAATGCCAGAATGCCAAATCAATTATCTGACCCTTGCCTTGGCTATGGCTCTTTCTCATATTCCTCAAGGAATTACATCTACTATCAATATTAGAATGAGCTTACACTGAAGTCAATTTCAACTACTACATCTTTCACTCATGTACCTTTTACAGAGACAAAATGTACACACCAAACTTTTAATTCCTCAAGTGTATATAATACATAATCTACAGTATTTAAACAATTATTGATAGCAAGATGGGCAACATATAAATTTAATAATGCTAGCTAGATTCAGACATTATGCTAAACCATAATATGGATTTTATGTATTATACAATCCAAACAACAATACTTTATTCAACAAATCATGGATAAATCTTTCTTTAGCATAATGCGCAAATGAAATCAATGTGTATGCAACAGCAGGATTACATTAAAGAAACACTATAAAAACAAACTGTAATTTCATGTCTCACAAGAGCACGTTAATGAATATATTTGCTTTAAAGATCCACCAATTCAGATTCTATTACTAAGAAAAAGAAAAAGTAGATTCAAATACAATGGAATCATGTGGGTCTCCCAACTATGATTTCACAACTGTGGCATTGTATCAGAATACTCAGCCCCAGGCCAATTTAATTCATGTTTATGTTGGACAATAATAAAACAGATTTTAGATGCTTGGATGCATGCATGTGAAAGATTAGGTCATGTATCAAAAATCCTGGTCCAAATTTTTTAAAATAAAAGTGAATGCCATGATTGGGTCCAGAAACAAATATATTGTTACCATGGAAGAAATAAAACTAAATCTGTATATTCCATGTAGCGGGGAAAAAACTGGATTGGCTGAATTTGGCTTCCCATGCTATCCAGCTATTTGTTTAAGTAAAAAACAGCTGTTCTGTTGCAAAAGAGTATACATCTTAAAGGTATACTTCATTTGTTTGATTAAAATGTTTTAATTTACAAAATAAATACATTGAGTGTTTGCCACACAATAAATTGAATTATGTTATATTTGTTTGGCATTAGTATCTGTAATAACATCTTTGTTTACTTTACTTCATATAAAAGAATTGACACACTTCCAAACTGAGCATCTGGACTTCCCTTCAGATATCTATACAGATGTACCTCACTCCAATAATTCAACAGCTGCCCCAAATCTAGGTATGGGTATATTGTATTTTAATAATCTATTCACATTTAATTTTGCCTTGAATTACAGATAGCCTTTCATTTACAACTACAATTGGGCCCAGAATCTTGGTCTTTGAGCAAAGCGGGGAGAACAATTCTAAGAATGATGGCATTTGCTAGTATTTTCACGAGATCCGAGGTCAATTCCTCTAGCACACCAAGAAAGGAAGGCTAACATTAATGCTGGCCTTCATTACTGTTTTCCCCTTCGGAGGGGAAGGGAAAAAGGAAACAAATGCTAGCAAGCTACCGAAGGCCAACATTTTGAAAGGCTCAGAACTTTGGCCTTCCCTAGGATTCAGTGTTTTCACCTATTCTTTCAACATACAGGAAGATTTCACTTCCCTTCAAGAGGAAGGGAGAGGAAATCCCTTAGCACACTGGGAGGAATGAATCACAAATCCAATGTCACCCGGCCGCAAACCTTCTCTACCCGCTTTCCAATTGACTTTCTGGGGATGCCAGCAGAGAATATTGCAAATGGTAATTACATAATCACAGGCATTCAATACCTGGTTGTAAAAGCAAATAGGTGCCAAACATCCCAAATGTGACTGGGGGGAGGGGCTGGCATGATATCTTATGACAGGTGGAAGTGCTTTACGAGCTGAAAGGCACCTGTTCTGAAGCTGTTGTGTTCAATGACTGGTCAAAGTCAAAGATTACCTGTACAGAGAAACATTAGATAACTACTTGACACAAATATCTAGTCCCATGATGGCGAACCTATGGCACACGTGGCACGTGGCGCCATTTTTTAGAGCATTCAAGGCATTGCCCTGTCAGCTTCAGCACGCATGCGCACACTGGGCAGCTGACTGGTGTTCTTTTGAGGCTTTCTTAAAGCCTTCGGAGTGTGAAAAAGTGACCCTAAGGGGCAAACCGTAAGGTCAGGAACAGTCTTCCAGTTTGGCCATAGGGCCGTTTTCCATCCTCTGGAACCTTCCGGAGCCTTCCCTGAAGGCTCTGGAGGGCGAAAAACAGCCCTAAGGCCAAAGTGGAAGTCCGTTCCCGAACTTCCAGTTTGGCCGAAGGGCAAGTATTTCGCCCTCTGGAGGCTTCAGGGAAGCTCCTGAAGGTTCCAGAGGGCCTCCAGGGGGCGGGGGAGGCTGTTGTCACCCTCCCCAGGCTCCTAGAAAGCCTCTGGAGCCTGGGGAGGGCAGAAAAAGTGTGCCAAAAACATGTGCGTGTGTTTCAGGCTGGTCATGTGCGCATGTGCGGGGTGGTGGTGTTGTGTGCACAGTATTATGGGTGGGGCACACCCACACACGACCCCTCCCCTGTGACTTCAGGTGACTATAACAACTTAAGATGGTAGTTGCATCAATCCCATTTGCCAGTTAAATAAATCCTGTGCAGCCACAGTGTCCCCATCATGTGGTTGCCATTTGTAACTTTCTGCTAGCTTCCCTATTGACTTTGTCTGTCAGGAAACAGCAGTAAAAGTCACAAATAACAAACATGATGCAGGGACATTAGGATGGCTATAAGTATAAGGACCTATCATTAGTTCTCATCATTCAGCAGCATTGTAACTGAATGCTGTTAAACAAGTGGTTCTTCAATAAGAATTACCTACAAACCATTTGATTTATTTGTTTATTATAGCATTTATAGGGGCACCCAACTCAAACCAAGTGACTCTGGGCAGTGTATAAATAAGATGAGCAAAGCATAATCAGTCAATATGTATTTTATTAAAATGGCAATCAGAAATGAAATCTTCCTCAACTGGAATTCAATTCATCCTGATCTCAAGAGACAGGTCTTAATTACCTCCTTAAAGTCATATAGGGTTGAGACCTTTTGTATATTGGGATAAATACTACTCCTTCAGGAATAATTTCCAATAATTTCCTTATACACTAGGAGACAGAATAGCACAGCTTCAGCCCAACTATGCACTATTCAAGGCCTTTTCTGTTGACTGATCAAACTTCTTCAGCTACTCTTGTGAATTGGAATAGATGAAATCACTGCTTCTTTTTTCTGGACCCTGAGATACTGACAGAATAAGAAGGTGAACTGTCCTTTAAGCACCCTGACATGCCACAAGATACTGGGTGGTATTTTCACACAACTACCAGATAACTCCTGCAACAATTCTCAACTGTCAACACAAGTGAAAGAACACAATTCTACAGTCCATCTACCCTGCCAATCAGGTGTCACAGGAACAAATCACATCCATGCTGCGATGAAGGAGAGGTTCTTCTCTGATGTCACTCTAACAGTTGTATCTCCAAACAGCCCCTGCCAGAAGCTATTCTACAATTTCAACCGTACCGTTACAGCCACCCTCAGTGTTGCTGTTCTCCCTACTGCCCCCTACAGCTCCAGACGCAGATCCAACAGGAGTTCCAGCAAGCTATCCCAAGCAGAGTAATTCCTATAGACCTTGATGAAGATGCCACAATAAGTGATCAATAATGCAGATGATTAGCAGTTATAACCATAGGACCTCCTCCAAAGAACTATGGACCCATTACATTCCTACAGAAACTTCCAATTACCACTAACATTTTCCATTACACATTGAGATGTACCTTGAATAAATGATTTTTTAAAATATACTATATAAGTCATAGATAAACCAGTTCAATATTTTTTCTTACCTTCCATTCTTCTTCTTTTCTACAGTCATCAAACACTGATGCTTTTAGTTCTAAAAGAAAAAATATATTATTACTATGGTTAAAATGAAATAATAGAGAAGAAAGGTTTTAATTAGAAATGAACTACATTAAAAATAATATTCCCATACAAAGTAGTATGTAACATTAAAGAATTAAGCTGGTCAGCATTACAAAGTGTGTTGTAGTACAGTAGTACAAAGTACTGTAAAAACAATAATTCTTATTATGTTGGCACCTTATCCTAATATTCTAATTAAATGTGACTTATTTGAACATAGATAGAAATAGGAAAGCATGGCTTTCACATCTTCTGGGTTCCAATTCCAGATGTGCAGGGCAAGCACAAATAACTTTAGGTCAAGACTAGAATAAAAAAATCACTGTTTGCATGAACTATCAGTGTAGAATTGGGATAATGGACCTATATAAGAGCTCTGTAACTTGAGATCTACTGTTCTAAGTGAATCTGAAACAGTCCCTATCTTGAATTACAAAGAACTAAACCTAATTTACGAAGTAGTAGACTCATCCACTGACCTCTACTGCTAGTATGTCATGCAAATGAAGTCACCGTATTCAAAACAAAAACAGGTATATTTCCTGTAGATTCAGGTATATAATTACTAGTCTTAAGTCAAGCCTTAACCTTCTTTATCTTTTTTCACTAGAAAAACAAAGCAATGGTATAATTCTATCAAGTCGGTTATATTTTATAAATTTATATTTTATAAATCCTAAAATCATTAAGTTGGTCTCATAAAATTGACCTTTACGTGATCTTATAAATACAAAAATCATGGAATATATAAAATGAATATAAACGTGCCCATTTATAAATAGGATAAAGACCGGTCTTTAAAATCATGAATATATGCACTATATGCCAAGCATCTTTAAATTCGATAGAGTAATATTAAAAAAATATGCCTAAACAAACTTAGTAGATGTTGCAAGACAACTCATAGCTTGTTACTTTAGATCACAAATATGGTTTGTGCAACAACATATCAAAGAATCAGTTCCTTGGTTTTTAATATTATTTTCGGCATGTTTGCATCCAGAATGTAGGTTATGATTATTGAAAAACAACAACCAAGTGCCAAACACAGCAGCATATGCTTTTATCAGACAAATGGGTTTTGTTCATTTCCCCTTTTTACCTACTATGTTATATTTATGTATTTAAATGCATCATATGGAAACTGTAATCATCATAAAGGATTTTTTATTCTTGCAACTGAAACTTTCCTATAATAATTTCTAAATTAAAGTTCTATACTAGGTGTTTTTTAAAAAAAACTGGGATTTGGCAAGAATTTGAATGGGTTCCATGAAACTAAGGGGAAACAAATATTTTACTCTCTTGCAGTTTTTTTCCCCTCTAGCTCTTTCCTTAGTCACTAAGGGAAAGGGTGATGAGGCTTCTCAGTTGACACTCGGTTAAACACACCCTTGATAAGGGTTTCCAAAGATGTTTGCAACAGTTCTCTGATGTAAAAAAAGGATTGAAAACCCATGCTCTATATAATTCTGTATCCTTAATCTTTACACAAAATCATAATTATTCTCCCAGATCTTTTCTTTCAAACTTCCCGGAGGTAATGCATTTTGGCTTTACTGTCGGTGAAATTAAATGAATTTATAGCAAGCACTGTTTCTCTTGGCAGTGGTTATTTTTCTAAATTTACTATAAAATTTCGACCATTAATATTTCACTTTACAATTTATCATAAGGGCAAAAATGTTATTAGCCTTTATCCACAAAATATCCATTTGGGCTCATATATTGGAACAATGCAGAACAGAAAGGGAACAAGCATGAGTGAACAAATTGGTTTGAGAGGAAGCAATAGCTTCTTACTCCATCCCCCCTGGGGATTTTTACAAGTTCATTTCTGAAGGTAAGCATGCGCCTGTTTCCTACGGAGTTAAATAGGGCTGGAAATGCCTGTAATTAACAATTCTTACTTCAAAATTTTTCATAGTAGAAAGGTTAAAAGGTTAATTAAAATCGATGTTAACGTGTCTCCAAATTTATGATTAACAGGTAAATAATTTCTTCCAGTCTAAACCAGCAAAAGATTCCCTTTTTTTAAGGAATCTATATCAAATGAATGTATAAATACTAGAAAAGGAGTAATTCTTGTAAATATGTATGTTGAGATATCTTAATACCTTTGCCATTATGGCACTCATTTAATAAAGCACAATTAAATTAAGGTAAGCATATTACGTGAACACGGCTGATGGGTCACAATTTTTTTTAAAGAAAGGAAACATTAAATCATACCAGAAGTAAAAGCAATAAGATCAGAAAAAACAATGCCATAACCATGCTGATCTGCGTGCAACATATTTTCATTACTTTTCCTCAAAACGCAATAATAAGAAATATGTATAAATACCACAAATGCATTCCACAGGGCACAATTAGATAAAGGACCCTTTCACTTATCAATCCTTCAAGTACGACCCCTATCTTTAGTTTCAAAAGAGATGACCAAGTTGGAAGCCTACATAGCACAATCTTGTACGCAGAGCTTTGAAAATAAATCCAAATAAATAAGATCTGAACTTTAAATCAACCATCAGGCCCCACCCATTTAGTTAGGCATACAATTCAATAGCTTCATCCATTCCAGGATAAGAACTGTCAAAATAAAAGAATAAAATAAAATAAAAGAACCTGGTATGGATGATGTATTCCACATATGCCTGAACCTTGATCAACCGTATTTCCATGCAACCATTTAAAAAAAAAAACCCTAAAGGTCCCACAGAACATTTATTAAAATTAATTTATGCTCCCTGCCTTCAAGGAGCTCAGGATACAGTAGGTGGATTGATGACATTTTTTTTATCTAGAGCAATCATAGCAGATAAACTAGGTCAATTTTCAACTGCATTGTACAATTCAGAGTTAGGGAAGCAAACTGAAATCAGATCTATGAGGTGGCAGGGGATGCTAGTATACTCATTTATTAATCTCTTCTGCTTTCCCGAAAAGCCACGTGCAGAGAAATTAAAATCCCAAAACGCCAGTTCTAAAACTACACCCATCAATTTCTATCTTGAAATTGAAATATCTCTTTCCCCATCCTAAGGCACCCAGATATCTGATTTATCATTTTCTCTACCACTGCAGTAGCAACCTGCCCCAGAGCTGGATAATACATACTGCACCAGGCTCCCTCCATCCCTACACCAAGGATGGGGATGGATTTAAAAGACAGTGGATGGGTGTGATGTGGGTGTGTTGTGTGTGTGATATGAGAAAAAAAAAAGTCCAGAGTCAATGTGTCAGTCAAAGCCATTTCCACAGGTGAATTCAGTATATTATATTTTAATACATACTGCACCAGCCTCCCTCCATCCCTACCAAGGATGGGCATGGATTTAAAAGACCCTGTGTGTGTGTGTGTGTGTGTGTGTGTGTGTGTGTGTGTGTGTGTGTGTGTGTGTGTCTGTGAGAGATACAGAGAGAGAGATGAGAAAAAAAGCACAGAGTCAATGCTGTTATTATTATTGTTATTATTCAAGATTCAAGATTTAATGAATTTGTATGCCGCCCAATCCCGAAGGACTCTGGGCGGCTCACATAAAAACAATTTAAAAATACTAAAAAATGTACTAATTATTATTATTATTATTATTACTATTATTATTATTCACATTTATATGCCGCCCAATCCCGAAGGACTCCGTGTCAGTCAAAGCCATTTCCACAGCTGAACTCAGTATATTATATTTTAATACATACTGCACCAGCCTCCCTCCATCCCTACCAAGGATGGGCATGGATTTAAAAGACCCTCTGTGTGTGTGTGTTTTGTGTGTTGTGGGTGTTATGTGTGTGTGTGTGTGATATGAGAGCCCAGAGTCAACGTGTCAGTCAAAGCCATTTCCACAGCTGAACTCAGTGTATTATATTTTAATACATACTGCACCAGGCTCCCTCCATCCCTACCAAGGATGTGCATGGATTTGAAAGACAGTGGATGGGTGTGTTGTGTGTGTGTTGTCTGTGTGTTGTCTGTGTGTTGTGTGTGTGATATATGAGAGCCCAGAGTCAATGTGTCAGTCAAAGCCATTTCCACAGCTGAATTAAGTATATTATACTTTAATACATGGGAATGGATTTAAAAGACAGTGGATGGGTGTGTTGTCTGTGTGTGTTGTGTGTGTATGTGTATTGTGTGTGTGTGTTGTGTGTATGTGATATATGACAGCCCAGACTCAACGTGTCAGTCAAAGCCATTTCCACAGCTGGAACTCAGTATATTATATTTTTTAATAATACACCGGGCGACCTTTTGAAACGCTTAAAAACCGCCCGAGGAGAAGCGTCCCAGGGTGACCCTCTGAGGGACCCAGGCGAAGAGGGGCGGAAACGTGCGAGGGAAAGTCTGGCAAGCGGACTTTTAAAAAGACGGCGACCTGCTTCAGACATCCATAGCAGGTGAAGCGGGGGGGGGGGGGGAAATAAAATAAAAGCTTCGCCTCGACCCCTCGAGAAGATGCAGCCGCACTGAGGGCTCCACACACAGCGGCGCCGCGACCACAAACGACAGGCGTTCACCACCACCACCACCACCACCGCCGCCCCTTCTTCCCAGCCGCCTCCCTCCCTTCTAACTTGTTCGCCTCACGGAGACCGACTCCGCATCGTCGCCCGCTCCCCGCTCCCCCGGGCGACCGTGCCAAGGCAAAAAGAGGACGCCCGCCTTAAGGCCCGTCGTTTGCAAACCCGGCTCCGCGGGCTCGGCTCAGCGCGGAAGGGAAGGAAGTAGCCGGGGCTTCGGCACTCACTCTGCCACACCAGGCTCTTCAGCCCCCGGTCGCCGCTCGCGGCCGCTGCCGGCGCCATCTTGGCTCTGTGAGGGGAAAAAGGAGGGAGAGGGGGGGGGGTGATTTATTCCGCGGCCAAGGCGGCCATTCAAAGCCCGGCACGCAAGCCCCGCCCCTCGGCTCTCCAGGCCCCGCCCCCGGCCTTGCAGGTTTGCGGCCGCCTTCCCTGCCGAGCTGACTCGTGACGCAGGTGCCGCAAGAAGACGCAGGAAGCCCCGCCCACGCTCTCGTGGGGAGGCTCATACGGGCGGGAGCCCGGCTGCTGAGCGGGAGGGGGTTTCGCTCGCTCTCCTCCTTCGTCTCTGCGAAACGTTGCCTAATCCAGTGTTTCTCAACCTTGGCCACTTGAAGATGTCTGGACTTCAACTCCCAGAATTCCCCAGCCAGCAAATGCTGTTTTCACCCTCTAAAGCAGTGTTTCTCAACCTTGGCCACTTGAAGATGTCTGGACTTCAACTCCCAGAATTCCCCAGCCAGCAAATGCTGTTTTCACCCTCTAAAGCAGTGTTTCTCAACCTTGGCCACTTGAAGATGTCCGGACTTCAACTCCCAGAATTCCCCAGCCAGCCAATGCTGTTTTCACCCTCTAAAGCAGTGTTTCTCAACCTTGGCCACTTGCAGATGTCCGGACTTCAACTCCCAGAATTCCCCAGCCAGCCAATGCTGTTTTCACCCTCTAAAGCAGTGTTTCTCAACCTTGGCCACTTGCAGATGTCCGGACTTCAACTCCCAGAATTCCCCAG